GCATCCAAGCGTTTTTTGTGTAAAAAAAAAAAAAAAAAACAAACAAACAAACAAACATCAACAACAATTTTCTTGCGTAAGAATTTAATGCGGGGCTTGCGACACACGCAAGGGTTTATCAAAATTATTAATAGAAAGAAAAAAAAAAAAAAAAATTAAATTAACATTTGGTTGGTAAACGCACAAGCCAATTCATTGTAACACAATTATTTTATCACTAAATTTATAATTCATCAGCGGATGGAACAACCATTCCATTACTGTTGCCAAATATTATTAATTTGTCTGTTGAACTATTTTAACCCACATTTTTTGGCCAAAAAAGTACGAGCAGCGAAAAATGGAAACGCGAGCATGATAATCGGAAGCCGCAGTCTTTGCGGTGATGACAAAATCTCTCGGAAAATCAGATACATGAAGCTGTTGTTACGAGGAGAGACGAGACAATGAGAGGCACTTGCTCGTTTTTCACGCTCCCCAATGAACGAGGCCGAGCGCCTATATCATATAAATAGTAGTCTGGCGAAACACGCAAATGTATAGACACGAAAACTGCGTGCTCTCGTGTACAAGCTTTTATACCATCACCAATGGCCCATTATCTTTTCTTCCTTATCATTGCGGACGCTGCCTGACTCTCTAATTAATTATATTTGGCATGTGGTTCCTCTTTCTTAATCGCCGCCGAGTGATATTACTTTTTTTTTCCTCAACCATTTAAATGATTGACATGTTTTATTAGAGCCTCAAGTACTTATAAAAGTGAAGAAATGATATACTCCATTTTTCATTGTAAATACCTGTACCTGTACGGGCTTGACGAGGTTTTACAAATAGACTTAGCCAGTTAGATGACGAGCTGCTCGAAATTAACGATTTTTTTTTTTTCCTTTCTTTTCTGTTTGCAGGGAAAAACGATAGCACACCAAAGTCGAGAGGAAGGGGGCGAGAAGGGGTTTAGCCATGAGCGATCCGAAACGACGCTCAATTGGGTAGGCCCTTTCCTGTGGGCTATACGGAGGCTACGGTTGCGAAAATCACAGCGTCAACAGAGACAACACCACCAGCGGCGCGATGGGTGAGATCCTGGGATCGGCGAGTTTTCTCCATCTCGGCGACATAGTCAGCCTGTACGCCGAGGGCAATGCTTCGGGCTTCCTGTCGACGCTCGGGTAAGTCCCCCTTTTTTCTTGTCTCGGGGAACAATGCCTATACGCATGTGACTTTTTTCTACGGGTGGGCTAGCTTTTTTTTTTTTTTTTTTTTTCGCTCAAATTTTGCTCGCGAGTTTAGTTAGTGCCCACCCTAGGTGCTCCTGTCGCGTTTTACCGTCATCACGAAAGTGGGATTTTTTTCCGAGCTCCAAAAAGGCTGCGTGTTTCATTTTTATACCTCTTCAAGGCTGGACTCTATTATTTTTAATTAAAAAAATATGCTACAGCCTCTCTCTCTCTCTCTACGAGCGCCTACACGCGTCGAGTTGCAAAGTGATTAGATACATGTTAAAATGTCGCTGGTATATATAATATACACGCGAGTAGGTACAACGAACCACTTAATTAGATGGGCATACCCGAGTTGTTCGGGTGGTAAAAAAAGGCGGCTAATCACTTTAATCGCGCGGGAGTGCCCGATTATCGTGTACTCTCGCTTCCCTGCTATTTTTACTTAATAAAAGCCAAGGGAGCAATAAAAGACATGTTGTTCCTAAATCATATGCCGCAAAAAAGAAAAAAAGAAAAAAAAAAAAAAAAAAAAAAAAAAAAAAAAAAAAAAANTCAAAAAAAAAAAAAAAAGAAAAAAAAAAGAAAAAAAAAAGAAAATCCTCTGTTAGCCTATATACAGATGAAAAAAGTGCACTTGCATCAACTGCATCGTATACTGTGGGTATATTACAAAGGAAAGGCCATGCGTTCCGTTGTATTAATAAACCTTAGCTAGGCTGATCCATAAGTGCATGCACTTGCATCCTTCTCGCTTTATTGGACGCGCGTGAGACAGACTTGGTGTAAAGATGGCACGTGCAATACAGCATCAACAACAACAACGACGATGACTACGGCACACGGGAATTTTATTAATATACCTACGTGTAAGCGCGTGCTCGGCCTTAAACATAAAAATATCTACCTCTCCTCTGACCAGTGAGTAGAAATTATCATACACCTCGAGCTGCTGTGGATTGGAAAAAAAAAAGAAATTATTTTTATAAATTAATCCCGTGGCTCGTCTTAATACCCCACGGGAGTTGATCCGGGCTTTTCTCGTCCAACGTTCCGAAAAAGATACAATCACACCCCCCACTCTTGTACATTTTTCTCTTTTCGATCGTTGAACCCTTACGAATATACACTCGTATATAAGCATCTTTTTGACCCGAACGGTATCATCCCCCGGTCAGCCACGCTCCCTTTGTTTCCCGTTACCCTCGACACATTTTATCCTAGCCCTCGTCGTGCCGCTTTCACGTAATTCACCTCCTCATTAACGCTCGACAGCGCAAAGTATACATTCCACATAATATATACCAGCTATGTCGCAGGCCATGCGAGTTTATTTTCAGATCTCGCACGTACGTGTACACGCGAACCTTTCATTACGTATCGTTGCGCAGCATTTTTCCCCCCTCCCTTGTACGCTCTCATCCCTTTTATTTGCATCGCGCGACAACTTTTTCGCTTTTTTTTTCTTCTTCTTCGTCGTCCGCGTGTATATTTTTGTATTTTCTTTCCTTCGCATTTTGCATACGCGAAACACCCTTGTCCCCTCAAAGTTCAAGGGCTTGATTGTATACACATGCTACGGTACAGATACGAATCTGGATATATGACACGCGGTTGCGAAAGGCATTCTACATTACGCGTTCGCGTGATTCGCCGGGAGCTGGTTGCGTTTCTTTTACAAGATAAAACAAAAACAACCATCTTGATTCGATCTTCTCGTCTGATTGGCGTGTTTTGTTTTTACTCTGTTGGATCACTTTGGGGTGTACAATTACATTTACTTGTGAATACCGTACAATACATGCTTGTTTTGCCTTATCTCTCTGATCTTCGCGTGTCGTTAAACAAGCCGTAAAGTGTAAAATTGAGTACCGTTTGACACAAATGTATACGTACAATTTGCATGCACATACATCATTGTACGTATACATAATCATCACATCAAACAGAGTTTACCCAAGTGGACAAGTGTATGAGATATTATGCGATCGGACAGAATCATTAAAAAATAAAAAGCGCGGCATAATGCAACAAAGTACAAAGTGTAATTTTTTTTTTTTTTTTTTTTTAACATTTTGTTTGGAATTTTTATTGGCGTATTTTTCCATGGTACCTGCTAAACAACCAAGTTTTCTACCGTTAAGAAATATTGAGCTCCTTGAGAGGTTTGAATACACTCTCATCGACCCAACATTAAAGTTCCCATCGTGCCTTAAAAGTATAAAAAAATCTGCCATTATTTCCACCGTATTTCCTGATCTATATATATACTTACTCATCAACTTCAATTATCTTTCATCCCTCTCTTCTCGTCTACCGATCGTCGAACGATCAGTCATAGAAAAAAACAAAAAAAGTACTCAATTTCACCTCTTGTATACCTGTACCGGTATTATCTTCAAACTCGTTGGCGGAACTCTCTTTTACCTAAAGTAACGCGCCATGTGGGAGTTGACGCCGCAATCACGTCGCTTTCGCGTCTTGTCTCTGCGATTTCATCTCCTTCGCTCTCGAGACGTACACTCGCTCACGTCCGTTAATTGGCTCTCTCTGAAGCTACAGCCTATATCGGCACGAGCTCTAATTGCTTACTCGGCGATTCGCTTATGACCGATCTCTTCTCTCCACGCATTTTTACCGCTCCCCTTTTGTGTTGCTGATCTTTTTTTTTTTTTTTTTTTTTTCCCTCAAAAGATTGAATTTTAGTATTGATACCCAAATTTAATTCTGGAAAAGTTTGCGTATGGTTACGCGCGAAAGTAATTTTGCACAGAGCAAACGTTTGTTTCCTCGCTCGTTAGCTCGCGCATCTAAGGCTCTCGACTTTGAAGTGCGTTTGGGGGATTAAGTTTTACGACTCGCGCAGATAAGGAGCTAAGACGAGTGTTTGCACAGATGCCAAATACCGCGATCGTTGTTTTCGATTTGTATTTGTTTTATGGCTTTCACTCGGCTTTAGTTGTCTAGCCCCGCGAAGATCGGTAATATCGATCCGATCCATCAAAAAGATTTACACGAGTTTTTTCTGTTTCGCAGAAATCAAGCTTCGATTGGGTATACCCGTACATATATTATACTTATTGAAAATTTTTCCAAGTTATTTTCCGGCTAGAATTCGTTCCCGGTTCATGCAGGGTTTTTCCCCCGTAGCCATACTCTGGGTTAATTTTGGACCAGATGGGGGGGGGGGGGCATCAAGGAGAAAAAAAAATTATTTCGCACTCCCAGCTATACAATACACGCGTTTTGAGCACACTCATGCTCGACCCACAAAAAAAGTCACAAGTACCATCATCATCGTGATCTGGTAACCGTCGTTTCAAAACGATGAATACTTAATAATAATGTCTGCCCCAACGAAAAAATATGTACCACCACACCATAAATTCGAATCAATTGCAACGCGATCATTATTAATTACATTTTTTCCACTGCACGCGTGGTACAACGGAATGGCGAAACGCAACGAAATCACTTGCTCGTTGGCAAAATTTTCTAGCGTATATTTGTGCCAGGCCATCAGCAGCGTGATTGAATAATTTACACTGGTGGAGACCCATACGCGCGTATATACAAATTACACACGCACACGCGCGCCCCACGACACCACCACAGTAAAATTTTAATCTAGCACTTTTAGCGTGCTCCAGTTTGACTGACACGCAAGTACATAACGTTCAATCTACGCATATGTACAGTAGTAAAAGTTTCGGGGTCTGCAAGTTTCATATATCGCAAGTATTGTGGTTGTTTTCTCTCGGCGTCACCTGTGCTCTTGTACTTTTGATCTTTCGTTGATAATTAAGCGATTTTCTTTTTTTTCTTTTTTTTTAGNAAAATTTTCAATCTCACGATTTTCGTGCTAATATAACCAATATGCTGTGCCCATTTTATCTTGAATTGCTTTTTTTTCCTCCTTATTTTATTATTTAACACACAGCTACTGAGGTGCTCTTGAAAAAGCTCTAGTTTCCCAGTTTTTCAAAAATTGCTGTTAGGGATGGAAAAAAAAAAAAAAAAAAAAAATCAAACACTCAAAGGAGTAAATTAACAATGTTCAGTGATAGATGAGTCGAAGACACCCGGAGATGGGCAAAGTTTAAATCGTATCCAAGGGAAGATGGGTCAATGTCACCGCGAGGAGTATACAAATACAGTTAGGTATACACGTGGACGTACTTACAGGCGTGATAAATTTCCCTCCCAAGTACAACATAAGTACATAGGGTGTACAGTTGACGGTTTAGCGCAAGCTCGTACCACCATCAGTTTCCTTCCGCTCTATTTCCGAAAACGCGAGAACCATCTAAATATAGGTACGCTTTGCTGCCTACCTTGTTATAGACACGCTGGATGTATGGTATTTGTTTTTTTTAAATTTAACTCATAATCCATGATAAATCGTTATAAAATGGTAATGGTAAAAAAAAGTTGCCGACCCAGCCGAGAGAATGTATAGTTTTCGAAACGGTGATTCATTTATTCTTAAACGCTTGCTTTTTCATCGAACCGTAGAAATGATAAACATTGTTCGGTACAGTTTAAAAAATGATAAAATAACCATACGAACCAGACAAGATATTCATCCTTAGGAAAATACCCCCCATCGATCATTCGCACCATCCAACGATTGAAAAAAACAAAAGTTGGATTACGTAACTTTCTCCCGGCAGATATATGCCTCGAAATGTAGGGGTCCAGGGAGCCAAGAGCTTCTGCCTCCTGTCCCGGGTAAAGTTTAAAGGGTCAAGGTCCCACCCCACCCGCATCCCCTCTGACGCGCGGAGATGCGAACGATCCATATTTACCTTTTATACGTGTGTATAGCATATATATATATTTTATATTATAGGTATATGCGGGACCTTCGCTATCCTTCCAACATCTTGTACCATATAGTTTCGCGGTATCGTGCGGCTAGGGCTTAACGGTGGGAAATACTGATTTCTATGCAACAATTTGTCGCACAAACAATAACTAGTTCATCAATCAATCTTGTTTTCCGGAAAACCCCTAAATTATTGTGATTCGATTTCGCGTGCCTGTAAAACAGACTTACCATTTTCCCCCTAGAAAAAAAAAACAGTCTCCAAAGACTATATAATGATAAAACCAAAAATGGATGCCGGATTAATTTTCGCAAGTGTACGGGACTCGACTCGCTCGATCAAAGAAAGGAAAACAGGAGAACTCGCGCGCTCCGGGGTTTTATAGTCACGGATTCGGGTGAGCTTTGATTCGCTCCACCGTGGCTGAATGCAGCGCCAGAAGGATATTATTATTACGATTGAAGGAGGAAAAACAAAAAACAAACAAACATCAGCGCTAGTTTCCAAAGGCGAGGAAACAAACAAAGTAATCCTCAGACGCGTTTTGCAACTGGTAAAAGCGAGTTACGAAATTTCCTTCCACCCAACGCTGGGAGTGACGATATTCACAACGATGTAGAAATTTCGGGCTAATTACTCGTACGAGCGTCCATTGAAACTGATAATAAAAGTAGATAAAATAATGAAAAAAAAACGAAGCAGAGCCAACAAGGTGTGATTTGGGAAAAATCCATACTTTTTTTGTTATCTGTGCACATATGGTATATCTACAGCTGACGGGCGCACTAATAATTCGTTGATCGTATCTAAATAATAGTTCACGCGCCGACAAATCATGAATAAAATGCGCGCGTCCCGAAACAAAAAATAAAATGGCCCACGTGCGTTGTCGACTTTTTTTTCTTCTTTTTCTTAAATATAATTTTTCCCTCCAATGCCGTTGTTTCCGAGCGAAGCTGTCGCATACGTGTACACTTTTAAAGCTCTCCCTTTGCCGACTTTACTTTTCTTTTTTCTTTTTTTTTTCCATCCATTAGATCTACAAGCTGTATGCGGCTTTCCAGGATTTAGACAGCGCCTACACGCACCTATTGGACGCAGACAAGGGAACAATTGTTGTCCACTAGACCAGATTTTTATTTTTTTTTTTGAGCTTGAGCTTTTGACTGTGACTTTTGCACCTTCGTGAAATTTCACTTTACTTTACAGTCACCAAGAGGAATGAGGAAATATATATATATATANGTTGTAGTTTTGTCACTCTCTCGAGTTATATATATTTATAAATGTTTATTCAAAAATACATGTTCGTATTTTAGAAGCGCTACTTTTTTCTTCTCATTTTATTGTTATTGTTATTACGTTGTGTCCATGCAGGAAGTAATGAGTAATGAGATATGTCTTATATAAAGTATAAATAGCGTGTGTGTGTGTATGTTACGCGAATACGACACCCGCAAACTGGATTGAATTCAACCCGTGCAGTATACCTACTTGTGCATCGTCGCATTAATATGTACAATCACAAGAATAGTGCGTAGTACCTCATACGCGTCAATGTATGAATATTGTTATGTTGCAATCGAGTTCATCATGTGCGCAAAATTATTACCATTTTTTTGGGATCGTTGAGCGCCGTATTATATTTTCCATATTGTCAAGGCCAATAAAAGTGTTTGATTCAACGTTGGAATGCGTGTTGAGTCGTTGCATCATTGTCTCTGTTGATAAAAGTTATCGGTATCGTTCCTCATTAGCTCAGAGTTCAAATTTAGACGCTGGTTCTCTTTCGCTTGAAAAAAAACAAAAAAAAAAAAAAATTATTGTTCCTCCAAAGAATTTACACAAGTAAGCTCGAGAGGAAAAAAAAGTTGTTGAAATTATGCGTGTTAGTTAGCAAAACCCCTCGGAAATATTTTCAACGCAACAGCGACGCTCACCCGAAATCCCAAAAGAGTCAAGCCGTACATCGCTCTCCTCTCGGCTCTCTTGGAAAAAAAAAAAAAAAAAAAAAAACTATCGCTGACCCAGATCCAATTCGACTCGATGCCTGCTCGCACCATCCAAGCGTTCCAACGAGGTGCCAAACAAAACCTTGAACTCGCAGCTGCTAAGATTCGAGAGATCACCACCACCACCATCGGGTGAACGATCCATAAAAGGTCGGCCCCAGCCACGTGCACCAGATGGCTACAGGGCCAAAAAAAAAGGTTCAGCTGCAGTATACACCCGCATATCTGTGCGTTCCACCTCGATTATCGACCAGCACCGCCTTCAACTCGACGACGGGCCACAGTGATTGCAGCGAGCTTGCACCGGGTGTTGGCGTGGGTGGCTTATTTTTTTCCCCCCACTTGCCCTGCAAAACAAGTACACGTAACGTGCCTCTGGATTATTTTGAACGGGCTCGCAATGTTGATATGCTGCAGACCCCCAATCGCACGTATACGACTACTATGTTTGCCGCTTTTTCGTTTCCGGAAGTCTCGTTACGTTTTTGATATCATCCAAGTGTGCGTCATTTCAAAATTTATTTTTGGACTCCTCCGTTAACTTGACTAATACTCTGCGGTATTTTTTTTTCTCGTTACGTTTCCTTTTATTTTATTTTTTTACCAAGTTTAACAATGTACGGAAATTAAGAGATCGTATAGGTGGAAACTACCGATTTGACAGATGGCACCGGGAACCGAATAGTTCTGCTCGGATGAAATCTGACGAATGCGTTGAGGGACCACCACAAGCAGTTCCTATATATGTATCATTAGAAGCACGTGTTCGTTCTATTAAGTCGAGCGCGCGCGCCAAGATTCCGTCAAGGCACATCCATCTTCGAGTTTCTCGAGCGCCAAGTGCACGCGCGTCTAATTATTGATCCAGCGGTGCACGGATACAGGAGAGAGGCATATGTAATATATGTATATGCGGGTACAGCCTGTACGAGTGAAAATTCGGAGGACCTTTTAGCTCGATATGTAAATGAGGCACTGAGACGGGTCAAGGATGAAATGATGCTATCTCGTGATTTCATTTAGTCAGCATCTTTTTATTTACCACTCCGCCGATCGTCGCGTACAGTTGAGCGTGTATAGGGTACGATTTTTACATACATTTGCATTCTTAAGACTTTGTACTTATGTACGCGATGCGATAATTTACCTGATTTTTTTATTTGTATGTGTTTTTAAAATTAATTGACTCATGCTGGACGATTTTACAACTACAATATCAAAATATATATGTATATATTTTTTTTTGTTTTAAATGCATTTTATAAAAACAAATCGGTATAAAAGTAGATGCGCGATTTTAATAAAGCTAATGATGAAGTTAGATGATCTCTTGCCTATAGTTGATTGACTTAAAAATAATGAGCTTCAATTTAAAGAAATCGATAAGTTTCCTATACAGTAAAAAGTCAGGAGTACTCATGTGTCACTTATCCATATTTTAATTGTTCTGTCTCGGTCCAAAGCTCCAGATGCAATCATATTTCTAGTTGGATGACAGTCTGTGCAAAGTACTACATCTGCAATAAAACAGTTGTCTTGTAATTTTGAGAAAAAGAAATGGGATGTAAATTTTTTCAAACAATAACAAACCTTTATGTCCAGTTAATTTTTGAACTAATTCTTTACTCTGCAAATTCCAAACGTATACACATCGATCTTCCGAGCCACTTACAATCCACTAATAAAAACAAAAAAAATTAATGTGTGCTTGTATTCAAGATATACAAGTTATCAACAATTGCTCACTCACCTTTCCCCCAGTAACAGAGAAATTGGCAAAAATACAATAATTGTTGTGCTTGTGGCCTCCATATTCTTTCAAAACTCTGTGATTTTCAATTTCCCACAAGCGCAATTTGCTTTCTGCTGAAGCAGCTAAGACATATTTTCCGTTTGGTGAATATCTGACAAAAGTCACGGAAGGTGGCTCATAACTGAATAGTCCCGTTTCAGACTCTGGTTTGTTATTATCAAAAATCGTCAATCTTGTGTGCGTTCCACTTTCCAACTCCCATAACAATCTGTCATTTAAATTGTGAAAATGTCGTATTATGATTTAATGTTACAACCGTTCTGACATGTATTTGCTCAACTTACATTCTGCCATCGTAACTGCCAGATACCAAATATTTCCCCATCCTATGAAAATCTACTGCACTAATGAGATCTGTGTGGCCTTGAAGAGTTTGTATGCACTGTCCTGTTGTCACATTCCAGATTTTGATAGTTTCATCAAACTGCAAGTTTACATTCGTTGAATACACACCAAACTAAAATGTCAAAGATTAAAGATCACTGAAATAACTTACCGATCCAGATGCAACTCGCATTCCATCGTGACTAAAATTGCAACACAGCACATAATTGGTGTGACCTACCAACGTTTTCAAGCATGTTCCCTGAAAATAAACAAATAACGTTGTTTTATATGAAATATCGATACGCCTGCCAGAGAGGGTGAAACAACGTACGTCCGTGATATCCCATATTTTCAAAGTGCAATCGTCCGAAGCAGAAACTAGCATGCGGCTGGATCGTTTCTTTTCTTGTTTCTTCTCCTGTTCCGAGCTATAAGAGGGCCAAGCGATATCAGATATACCCTGGGTATGTCCGGTAAGGGTTCTGTACCGGTTAAAATTACTGACCCTCCAAAGTATGATTGTCTTGTCCGCAGCTAGAAATCACTAAAATTTTCACTCACCGCTGACTTGTAGACACACTTGGGAACAAAGTTATATACTTACAGGAGCTAGCCAGCCAGAGGCCATCGGGACTGAATTTGACGGACGACACGGACTTTTGGTGTCCCTGTAGAGTGCACCTTAGTCCGTAAGCTGGCAACTAAAAGAATGAAAAAGAGAGACTGTTGATCGAGAGAGGTTATGGAGTAACGAAACAAGACTCTGAATATATGTGTATTTATCATGGTAAATTAATGTTGACAAAGGAAACTTACGATGCTCCGTGACTTGTCTGACTTTTTTTCTTTCACCACTGGCTTCTCGTAAGACGCCATTTCCACCCACGGGGGGAAATTCACTTTATATTTACACTTGACAGATTTTGACACTCCGAATTGAGGTTAGGCGGTTTGTTTTGAAGGGGAGAGAAGAGTGGAAGGATCAGAATGGTCAAAAGTTGAAACAACAAATGTTTTTCGCACTTGGCGATTGTCGCGAACGAAGATCACACCAGACACAACGTAAAAAACACTTGCCAGATCGCGGGCCACCGTGGGAGACAGATGGCTGTTTCTGAGTTGCACCATCTCTGGTTGCACACGCGGCGGCGACATGAATCGCCGCGATTCGCGGGGCGCTTTAATTGAAGTTGAGGGGGAAGATTTAAATGCACGTACCACACAAAGTCATATACTTACAAAGATTTAAAATAATCAAACATGATTTTTCGATGATTATAAGAGTATATATTTATGCAACGACATCTCGATGACAGTCATTATTATCAATTACAGATTGGTCGATGACCGATGCGTAGTCAGTCCGGAGGCAGGCGACTTGACCAACCCTCCAAAGAAATTTCGCGGTTGGTGATATTTATTACAATTGTTATTAATAATAATAATGTTACAACAATGAAGCATTAAAATGACGATGAGTTTACAGATTGCCTGTTCAAAATATGTCCCATGAACCGGTACTCGGCCCAGAAGCAGTTCTGGAAAGCCGCGAAGCAAAGCGGAAGCTCGACCACCGATGCCGTACTGCTCAAACGGCTACACGTACGTTTATTATGGTTTTTTTTTTTTTTTTTTTTTTTTTTTTTTTTTTTTACCAAACACAATTTTCCAACCGAATAATCGCATTTTAAATTTTCAATCTAATGCAGTTTTTCAAATACCAACTGTATACATCGATGTTTCCAACGAATGAAATTAATTTAATTGTATTCATCTGAAATTCAAATGAATCAAAAAATTGAATGTAATCACAGGACTTTTTGATTTATTGTAATTTATTGAAGAATGCATGTATTTATTTATTCACAGCATGCCGCAGAGATCGAAAAGAAGCAGAACGACACGGAGAACAAAAAGCTCCTGGGCACCATCGTCTCCTACGGCAACGTAGTACAGGTGACGTATATATTTTTATTTCCCAAATGAAAGTTGTTGTTTCCACGGCTTTCGTACTCGTTAAATAAAAACATTTTTCATAATGTATACTAGCATGTCTTGAAATAAAAGCTGAAATGAAAAAAAAAAAAAAAAGCTCGAAAGCTCTCAATCCCGCGTAAATCAGCGGGGGCCCGATGAGATTATCTCGAGCTCGTTGACCTGCAACAAGAGACAAAAAAAAAAAAAAAAAAAACCAAGTGCCACGAGTACGAGGGTACACGAAAAAGCCAAGAAAGCTCCGAACTCTTGAAAAAAAGTAAAGCGGATAAAGTTGAAAAAGCCGCGAGACGAATAATAATAAAACGATCGTTCTGAACTTGAGCCAAGAACACGCGAGCTTGGACCATCGCGTCTCGATGCATTACTTTTTAATTTTACACTATAATTTCGGCTAATGAAAATTAACTGTTGCATCGGGTTTTTGAATGAACCGATACGTATACTCTTCTCCTGTGGTGCTATTGCACGAACGTTTATGAATCACGGCAAAAAGTATTTATTTTTCATTTTCCATCCTTCACGTATATGTATAATCAACTCGGGAGGAAAAAAAAAAAAAAAAAAAAAGATCGTTGTACAAGCCACACACATGTAATATAGATATTAAATTTTTCCAGCTGTTGCACCTGAAATCCAACAAGTACCTGACGGTGAACAAGCGGCTGCCCGCCCTGCTGGAGAAGAACGCGATGCGCGTGTACCTGGACGCCAACGGCAACGAGGGCAGCTGGCTGTACATAATGCCGTTCTACAAGTTGCGGAGCGACGGTGACAGCGTCGTCGTTGGCGACAAGGTCATCCTCGAGCCGGTAAACGCCGGCCGGCAGGGCCTCCACGTCGCCGCGAACTACGAACTCGGCGACAATCCCGGCTGCAAGGAGGTCAACGTCGCCAGTGCCTTCACCTCCTGGAAGGTCACCCTATTCATGGAGCACAGGGAAAACCAGGAGGAGATACTCAAGGGTGGCGACGTCGTCAGGCTGTTTCACGCCGAGCAGGAGAAATTCCTCACCATGGACGAGTACAAGAAGAAACAGCACGTCTTTCTCCGCACTACGGGCAGAACCAGCGCAACCGCGGCCACGAGCAGCAAGGCCCTCTGGGAGGTCGAGGTACGTATACACATATACTATTTGATTATAAACCCACTTCGAGGATCTGCAATATGTCCACATGTTATGTCTATACGTGTGTTGGGACTTTAGGTGGTGCAGCACGACCCGTGTCGCGGAGGGGCCGGCCACTGGAACTCGCTGTTCCGGTTCAAGCACTTGGCGACGGGCCAGTACTTGGCCGCGGAGATCGACAACGACGAGCCCGTCGAAACGGCCAAGGGCAACAAACGAGGTGAGCCGAAATACATACGTACATACATACACACACGTATATCCGTTGCAACCGTAATGTATACGTAACACGTGGGCAGAAGCTCCGGGTCCGGTGTACCGTTTGGTCTCGGTGCCCCACAGCAACGAGATCAGCTCCCTGTTCGAGCTCGACCCGACGACCCTGACGCGGGGCGACAGCCTCGTGCCGCAGTCCTCGTTCGTGAGGCTCCATCACATCTGCACCAACACGTGGGTCCACTCGACGAGCGTGCCGATAGACAAGGACGACGAGAAGCCGGTCATGTCGAAGGTCGGCTGCGCGACCAGCAAAGAGGACAAGGAGGCCTTTGCCCTGAGATCCGTGTCCCCGGTCGAGGTGCGGGATCTCGACTTTGCCAACGACGCGTGCAAGGTCCTCGAGTCGATAAGCGGGAAACTCGAGGGCGGCACGATATCGCACAACGAGAGACGGGCCGTGATCAATTTGCTCCAGGACATCGTCTACTTCATAGCCGGTCTCGAGAACGAGCAGAACAAGTCGGAGGCCCTCGAGCTCGTGGTCACCAATCCGGTCCGCGATCGGCAGAAGCTGCTCAGGGAACAGTACATCCTCAGCCAGTTGTTCAAGATCTTGCAGGCGCCCTTTCTGGAGTCGGTGGCTGGCGAGGGGCCTTTTCTCAGGATCGAGGAGCTCAGCGATCCCCGACACGCGCCCTACAAGAACATGTTCCGGCTGTGCTATCGCATCCTCAGGCTGTCCCAGCAGGACTACAGGAAGAACCAGGTGGGTCTTGGTTTGCTTTCGTACTTCCACAATGTGTGGTGCACAATCGATTGTTTTATCTTGCTCTGTTTTTTTTTTTTTTTTTTTTTCAGGAGTACATAGCAAAGCACTTTGCCTTCATGCAAAAGCAGATCGGCTACGACATACTGGCCGAGGACACGATAACGGCTCTGCTGCACAACAACAGGAAGTTGCTCGAGAAGCACATCACGGCGGCGGAGATCGAGACCTTCGTCGGCCTCGTCAGGAAGAACATGCACACCTGGGAGTCGAGGTTCCTCGATTATCTGTCCGATCTTTGCATATCGAACAAGAAGGCGATCGCCGTCACGCAGGAGCTCATCTGCAAGAGCGTCCTCAGCGAGAAGAACAAGGACATACTGATTGAGACCAAGTGAGTTGGGAGAGTTCTTTTTTTCTCTCTTTCTTCCTTTCTTGACGGTTAAACAGTGGACGAGTGAAATTTTCATTTACTGTGCTTGTCTCTGCAGAATGATGAAGACGCAGGTGGAGGTGGAGGACGACGACGACAGACCCGAGAACGACGAGGAGCCGCACATCACCATCATCGAGGAACTCGAGGTTTTTCTCGTTTGGAACGACGGACGGGTGAGTTCTGAGACGACGAATATATACTTACAACAGAAATAAAAAAATCTGTTTTTTTTCTTTTTCCAGCGATCCATGTCCCTGAGCGAATTGTCGAGGGGGGCCAAGCTAGAGAACATCGAGGATGCTTCGATATTGGATTACTACAGGCACCAGTTGAACTTGTTCAGCAACATGTGCCTCAATCGGCAGTACTTGGCCCTCAACAACTTGTCCCCGCATTTGGACATTGACTTGATTTTGAAGTGAGACATTTCTTTTTTTTTTTTGTAACACAAGTTTTAATTGCTACCGGTTCAATGTCGATTATTACAGGTGCATGGAGGACGAAACCGTGCCGTACGAGCTGCGCGCGTCGTTTTGCAGATTGATGCTGCACCTGCACGTGGACAGGGACCCGCAGGAGCAAGTGACGCCGGTCAAGTACGCGAGACTCTGGTCGGAAATACCCTCGAAGATGAGTATCAACGAGTAAGTGTCGATGGAAAACTTGGACCAACGGAATAATATGTGACTTACTTTTTTTTTTTTCTTTCTTTTCGTTCAGCTACGACACCAATAAAATGCCAGACCAGAGCAAGGAAGCGGTCAGGGCGAGATTCAGTTCCACCATTATGTTCGTGGAGGATTACCTGTGCAACGTGGTAGCAAAGATGTGGTCGTTTGCCGATCAGGAGCAAAACAAGCTTACCTTCGAGGTGCGCACTCTTTTTTTTTTTCCCCTCAACCACTAATGTATATAGGTGTATGGAGCGTATACCGATTTTTTATTTTTCTCCGATGATTGCAGGTCGTCAAGTTGGCCCGGGATCTGATCTACTTTGGATTTTACAGCTTCAGCGATCTGTTGAGGCTGACTAAAACGCTGCTCAATATTTTGGACTGCGTTTCCGACACCGAAGTCTCCGACGGAAAAGTCCCGACTGGAGACATCGATTGTTAGTATACGATTCCTACTACAAATTACACGTACATGTACATACAAAATTCGGGAATTTTTTTTTGCATTGCAAAAATACTGTAAATATTCCGCCCATGCTACAACATGTACATATATACAATTTAATCTCTTTTTGTTCATTTTTAACTGTTTTTAAAAACCTATCGCTCAGCCGAAACTATGGAATCGGAAAGCACAGGTAAAGTCCTGTAAATAAAATGCGTGTACTCGTTGTTCTGCAATCGATATAAAAAATGTTAAATTGTAAATTAAAAAAAAAAAAAAAAAAAATTAAACTCTCCCACATCCAGCCGAGGGTGGAGTTCTCCGGTGCATCGGAGAGATGGGATCGGTAATGACTAACCTGACCCTGGGACCGGCCGGCCAAGTGATAGCCGGCACGTCATCCCCGGGCCCAAAATCGGCAGTCACCGCGAAAAAGGAGTATCCCCTCGTAATGGACACAAAGCTCAAGATCATCGAGATACTGCAGTTCATCCTCGACGTGCGGCTCGACTACAGGATATCCTGCCTGTTGTGCATATTCAAGAAGGAATTCGACGAGACCGAGAAAGCCTCCGGAGACCTGAACCTCGACCAGAAGGGCATCGACCTCGAGGCGATCGGCGTCCAAGCCGAGGGCATATTCGGCAGCAGGTAACCGAATGATCATCAATTGTATAAATATATATAATATATGTGGATGTATAAATTGTACACGTGTGTCATCAGTGAGGAGTGCGCGGCCTTGGACCTAGACGGCCTGGGTGGCCGGACGTTCCTGCGGGTCCTCCTCCACCTGGCGATGCACGACTACCCTCCACTGGTCTCTGGAGCCCTGCACCTCCTATTCCGTCACTTTAGCCAGCGGCAGGAGGTTCTACAGGCCTTCAAGCAAGTCCAGCTCCTGGTGTCGGACAACGACGTCGAGTCGTACAAGCAGATCAAAGCTGACCTGGACGTGCTGCGCCAGTCGGTAGAAAAGTCCGAGCTCTGGGTGTACAAGTCCAAGGCCAGCGAGGAGCACGCCAACAAAAAGAAGACCAATGCCAATAACAACAGCAGCAGCAATAAGCAGCAGAGTAGCAACAAGGCAGGGGTGGCCAGCGGCAATCAGGAGGACGAGGGTGGGCGGACGAGCCCGAGGAAGCTGCCACCCCAGTTGTCGTCGATGGAGAAGAAGGGCTCGGCCATAGACTTGGACGTGGGGCCTCCCCTTCACGCCGAGCAAGCCGAGGAGTACCGGAAGATCCAGCGTATCCTCATCCGCATGAACAAGCTGTGCGTGGTCCAGAGCGGGGGTGTAACGGCGCCGCGCAAGCACGAGCAACGGCTCTTGCGCAACGTCGGCGTCCACACGATAGTGCTCGATCTGCTGCAGGTGCCCTTCGACGCCAAAGAGGACGTGCGGATGATCGAACTGATGAGGCTGGCCCACGACTTTCTGCAGAACTTTTGCCTCGGCAACCAGCAAAACCAAATGCTCCTGAACAAGCAGCTCGACCTGTTTCTCACCCCAGGGATCCGGGAGGCCCAGACCGTGTGCAGCATCTTCCAGGACAATTTGACCCTCTGCAACGAGGTCAATCCCAAGGTCATACAGCATTTTGTCCACTGCATCGAGACGCACGGCAAGCACGTGCAGTACCTCAAGTTCCTGCAGACCATCGTCAAGGCGGAGAACCAGTTCATCAGGAAGTGCCAGGAGATGGTCATGCAGGAGGTGAACCACGCACAATGTCGAATATTATATATTGTACGTTGTGTATTGAATGTTGGTTTATTTTTTTATGCACAGCTCGTTCAAGCGGGAGAGGACGTGTTGGTGTTTTACAACGACAGGGCGTCGTTCAACCAATTCGTCGAGATGATGAGATCCGAGAGACACCGAATGAACGAGAGTAGCCCGCTCAAGTAGGTATCCTTTTTTTTTTTTTTTTTTTTTTTTTATTTCTCTTCCTTATTGTTTGGACGTACAACAAGTAATGTTTCGTTGCAGGTACCACGTGGAGTTGGTGAAGCTGCTGGCCTGCTGCACCATGGGCAAGAACGTAAACACCGAGATAAAGTGCCACAGCCTGTTGCCGCTGGACGACATAGTGGCCATGGTGTCCCACCAGGACTGCATACCAGAGGTGAAGGAGGCGTACATCAACTTTTTGAATCACTGCTACATAGACACGGAGGTCGAGATGAAGGAGATTTACACGTCGAACCACATGTGGTCGCTATTCGAGAGATCGTTCATCGTCGACATGGGACTTATCGCAACGGCGACCCACGATCGGCAACACGCCGACACGGCCCTTCAGAATTACGTGACCAACTGCCTCATGAACATCATCACGACCTTCTTCAGCAGCCCGTTCTCCGATCAGAGCACCACTGTCCAGGTATTCCTTTTCTTACGAATCTTATATAGGCTCTTGAGTCAATTTACTATTTTATATCATGAATAATAATAATAATAATGCGTCATCGATGCTCGTTTATGTACATTATACGACTGTTTCGTAGTTGTATACTTATTGTCTTTTACAGTTTGATTAATCTATCCAAATTTTTACTAAACTGTAATATGCATACTTGTTGTGCTCTATTAACTGGTTGGTTTTTTTTTTTTTTTTTTTTTTTTTTTTTTTTTTTTTTTTTTTTNTTTTTTTTTTTTTTTTTTTTTTTTTTTTTTTTTTTTTTTTGTTTTTGGTATGATGTACGTATCTTTCTTGATTTTTCATAGGATCGACTCGTATTTCCTAATCGAAGTTTGTGGATATTGATAAAAATTTTCAATTTAAATCGGTTTAATACATGTTTTACTTTATCATTTTATGTTTATCCAAAAATGAAAATCAATTTGTGTTTTTTTTTTTGCCTTGCTTTGCGATCCAAGTACGTCATGCTGGAGGTAATTTTTTCATTAAAAGAGAAATCATACATATTTTATTTAGCACTATAGACAATAGAACAATACGTTGATTCGTTTGGACAATAGTTGAGCAACGGTTTTGAATTTTATAATGTGATTGCACAAACCAGCATATTGTGATTCATATTTTAGTTGATTTATTTTTCTGTGTCGATCCGTTATTTTTGCACCTACGTATACCGCACAGCTGAACATTTTTTTTTATCTCTCGTCTTGAAAACCAGACATATTTGTATGAATTCTGTGACATAAAAGTATTTTATAAACACACACACACACACACACACACACCGAGAGAATAGATGATCTATTGTTGCTTTGCATGAAAATAGTTTTAAATTTATTAAAAAAAAAAAAAAAAAACGTTCGTTAACGAAGCGTAAACAAACAAATTGCTTAATGGTGAGCTTTGAAATAACCAAAATAATGGTGGTGAAAAAAAAAAGAAAAAAAAATATCATAGCTGAGATGACACGAAAAAAAAGGAAAAAAAAAAAAGAAACAATAACGTACCATGATAATTATGCTTTGTTAATGCGAATGAATATGCCTATACTATTATGTAAATATAGTTGCATGATGTTTATATAAATATATACGTGTGTATATGTGTGTTTTTGGCATGTGTCTATTTGGCGTTAACTTTATTCCTCCGACCACCACCGCTTCCACTCCAATGCTACTACTACTATGCTACTTACCGGTTGGCTCCGTAAAATCCATGGTACGATATACGTATACCGATATATTTTACCGCGCTCACTGTTTGGTGTTGGGGTTTCGATAGAAACACCTGCACGAAGCCAGGCTCTATTGGAACACGAAGACTCACGACCGTAATGACAATTATATCTATGACTACGTAAGTATATATAGTCACTATGAACTGCATATTTTCCGTAGTTGATGCGCACGAATTAAACAAAAAAATCTTTTTTTTTTTTTTTTCCATCGCTACACGCTGTGTACGTACAAATGGTACCTTTTTTTTTCATACAATCCGTAGAATTGGCATATTGATGTTCGCTATGCAGCAAAAAGATAACATTAATCGCAAAACAAAGTGATATGCCAACAAAGTTCAATCCATTGTAAGTTAACTTTCTCCGACAGACGAGACAACCGATATTCGTCCAGCTGCTTCACGCCGCGTTCAAGGTGTCCCAGTGCACGTGGCTGAACTCCAACCAGAGGTTCAACGTTGAAAACTGCATCCGGACTCTCTCGGATGTCGGTAAGTATACGAGAAAAAGAAGAAGAAGAAAAAAAGCCTGATCATTAATCCTTAAAAACCAATAGCCAAGAGCAGGAGCATCGCCATTCCCACGGACCTCGACAGCCAGGTAGCGTCCATGTTCAACAAGGCAGCGATGCTCAGCCGGCAGACGAGCAAGTGGCTGCAGGCGTCCAAACAGCCAAAAATCGAGCGCAGCCAGGGCCAGGTGACAAAAAAAAATTTACTCTTATTCCCTCCCCCCCCTGACACGTATATATATATGTTTCGTCCTTTCGACCAGGTGGTGCGGCTGGACCGCAGCATCATCGAAGGCCTGCAGGACATAGTGTCGCTGCTGGAGGAGCAGCTGAAGCCGCTGGTCCAGTCGGAGCTGTCCCTGCTGGTCGACATACTCTACAGGCCGGAGTTGCTCTTCCCCGTGGCAACGGAGGCACGGAAACGCTGCGAGAACGGCGGTTTCATACGACGGTACACGCGCGCTCTTCCACGTGCATTTTTACTGTCTTTCCCAATTGAGATAAATCCCCAAATGTGTGTTTCCAGGCTGATAAAACACACGGAAAAATTGCTCGAGGAGAAGGAGGAGAAGCTGTGCGTCAAGGTGCTGAGGACCCTGCGCGAGATGATGGCCATTGATCCGGAGTACGGCGAAAAGGTCGGTATCCCCTGTATGCCCGCACAATCAAGTGTTCAGCTGTCGATGGTGCATGAACAAGTTGAGCCGATTGCGCCATTAACTTTGCGGCCAGCTACTTTTTTACGGTATCACGATCAATGGGCCCAAAGCAAGCCCATATACTGCCAGGGGGGTAGGGGGCGGCTATGCGCATAATCGCACACCTTCAGCTGTAGAATATGATACACGTACAGGAGTATTCAGTTTTCCTGAACTCGATGTGTTGCTTCAATTTTGTATACGATTGAAAAAAAAAAACTATTTTATTTATGTCTGTCTGTGTGTGTGTAATTTACTAGAGGAAGGACACACGAAACTGAATGCTCGTCCTTATCGTCATATACATTATCACGCCGCATATAGGCCGCATATTCGCCTAGAGAATTCTGGATCGGGTTTTTTTTTTTTTTTTTTTTTTTTTTTTTTTTTTTCACTTTTGGCCGAGATGATCGTATATATACATAGTTACCGTTTTCACTTGCGTTCGTTGGACGAAATATGTAGTTAAAAGGAGGCCATGGGAAAACCAATGCGTTCCCACGCACACATCAGCCCTTGTCCCCTGAAACAGAGTATGTAAGGGGTGGGGCGCGGTAGACCTATAGATGTAAAAGTGTTTTCATGCTGCCCTCCCGGAGACGGAGGATAACAAGCCATCGGTTCCGGCCGACTCGGAGGTGGTACCGCCACCCCCGCCGCCGACGCCTTCGTCACCCTCGACTGAGACAACGGACCAGTTTCCGCCCGGCGAAGTTGACGTGCCGACGAGGTCCGCGAAACAAGGAGGAGGTGACGAAGACGAGGTCGTTTATCTCCACCACCACCACCACCACCTGACGGACGCGGAGCTGGAGCGCCAGAAGCGGGTAAACGACGGCGCGATCAAAGTACCGCAAGCTAGAGAGCTTCCGTCCGATAGTAGGCCGCCGAAAGGCTCGAAAGACCGTCCGCTCAGTAACAATAAGCAAGAGGCACGACTCATCCAAAACGTATACTGATTGCTCCTGCTGCTATACCACCTTTTATCTCTATCTCTGGTTTTTTTTCTCCTCCTCCTCTCTCTGTATTATAATCTCTCATTTCCCCCCCCCCTTTTCCATATGTATATATATGTACACACATGGATGGATTGCTGTCCCTATTTTTTTTTTTTCTTTTCTTTTTCTACTCCAAGAGTGTGTCTTTTTCCTCCCCCTTACGTATATGTTCATCGTATTGTGGTCGATCTCGTCTCTGTGTGTGTTTCTGACTCTCCGATCGAGGATACACCCACACACTTGTTATTTGTTTCGATCTCTTCCCTACATTATTTTTTCGAAGACTGACATGGATGCACTGTATTTTACAGATTTTTTTCCTTTACATTTATACATATATACCTTTGGTATGTTCAATTGTATTGGCGTACTATGTGCACGTCGATTTTTCGCTTTGCCGCTGCTGTGAACGACCATTTTTTTTTTTTTTTTTTTTTTTGCTTCATGGAATACTTACACGTATTATAAGCTCATTGTTATCATATGCGCCATTGAGTTGGTGTGTTTTTGTGCGAAAAGTCATACGATATGATATCTTGAAAAATCGCTAAAAATCGTTTGCGAACAAATTGCCATTCAAACGATCGGTATGATCTTTTCTCACGAAAATATTTCCATGAAATCATATCCATGACCACATTTGATTCTTTCATATATATTTTTTACAAAGTCTTAAGTAGTTTCAAGACGCATGTATCTTAAGGTATCGCTAAATAATATATTTTTCTGTATGTTTGTAAGTTTGCGGTAGTATGCATTTTTAAGTATTTCGCATTTCATACATATACCCGTAAAATGTTGAATCAATCAAATTTAATATTACCATGAAAAACGTAAATAACGATGTACCAATACACAAATATTGTACAATTGTATCCATAATTTTTATAAAATAGCCATGTATGGTTTTAAAACGTATTTTTACACACACAGCTCGATTTTTTTTGTATTACACGGCATTTTTTTTTGTCTTAAAAATAACTCCCACTGTAATTACAATCACCTCGTACGAGCGAATCCCTTGTAGAAAACGTCGAATCGCATTTTCGATTTTGCTAGAAAATACCCAACGCACCAAAAAATGGCACCCTATTGAGGCTGCGTAAAATCAATCCTCTCTCTCTCTCTCTCTCCCCGTGTAATGGTATATCCCTAAGAGTAGAGGTGCTCGAAAACACATTGTGAGACGAAAAAAAATGGTTTTACAGGGCGATGCTTTACGCAGCAATTTACTGGCTCGCTACTTCGGACACGACTTTCTTCGCCGAGTGGACATCGGGACGCCTTGCACGACACCCGTGACCCACGGACCTGGAGGTAAAAACCAACATCCTCCCCAACAATCATAATACGGTGAAATTACCGATCGAGAGAACAACATTTTTTAAATTTATGTCCTTCCGGCAACAGCGAAATTGCTCAGCCGAGCCGGTCGAACGCTACACGAGGTCCAAAGCCACCTGGACCGCGAAGGCGCCTCGGATCTCGTCGTCGAGCTGGTCATCAGAAGCGTGCACTCCCCGAGTATATTCGTCGAGGTGATAGAGCTGGGAATCGCCCTGCTCGAGGGTGGCAACCCCATCATCCAGAAGAGCATGATCGCCAAGTTGATGGGCGGCGACATGAGCCAGTCGTTCTTCAAGGTGAGCTCTCACCATACGTGTACACATATAATTAATTATCTTCCACCCGAGTTGCAGTCAAGTACGTGATGGGGATGTATTTGCAGGTGTTTTACGATAAAATGCGAGACTCTCAGCAAGAAATCAAGGCCACGGTAACGGTCAACACGTCGGACATTGCCGCGAAGGCCCACGAGGACAAGGAGCAGGGAAAGGAGCTCGAGAAATTGTCGAAGAAGCGAGCCTCGGGTATAAAACTCTTGGTCATCGTGATGGCGCATTGTAATTGTCGTTACTCATCAATTTCTCTCTGTACGAGTAGGCAAGGCCAACGGCATCGTCCTGACGGAGGAGCTCAAGGAGGAGCTGAATGCAGCCACGGCCTCGACGGCCCAGGCGTACGCTTCGGTGAGACACTTGACCTCCGGGGAGGAGTTGTCCTGCGGTGGCGGTGCCCTCGTCAACTCGGCCCTGGAGGACGCCCTCGCCGAAAAACACCGGACCGCCAGCGAAAGGGACGAGAGCCAACTCAACTCCAAGATCCTCGTGATGCAGCCCATCCTGCGGTTCCTCCAGCTCCTATGCGAGAACCACAACAGGGAGTTGCAGGTATAATCTGTCACATTGTCTACCCAACGTCAAGTGATGTTTTTCCAATATGAGAAAAATGGCATACCTAATATATATATATATGTATGTGTTGTTTGTGTCGCTGATGGTACTTTTTGGCACCGCGGTGTAGAACTTCCTCCGCAACCAGAACAACAAGACAAACTACAATCTGGTGTCGGAGACGCTGATGTTCCTGGACGTGATATGCGGCTCGACGACCGGCGGTCTGGGCCTCCTCGGGCTCTACATAAACGAGTACAACGTCGCCCTGATCAACCAGACCCTGGAGACCCTGACCGAGTACTGCCAGGGCCCCTGCCACGACAACCAAAATTGCATAGCCACCCACGAGTCTAACGGCCTCGACATCATAACCGCCCTCATCCTCAACGACATCAATCCACTAGGCAAAACGAGGATGGACCTCGTGCTCGAGCTCAAGAACAACGCGAGCAAGCTCCTCCTGGCCATCATGGAGAGCCGCGGCGACAGCGAGAACGCCGAGAGGATCATGTACAACATGAACCCGAAGCAGCTGGTCGACGTCGCGTGCACGGCCTTCCACCAGGAGTCCCTCGACGAGGACGGCGCTGCCGACCCCGACGACTCGTCTGCCGACGGTGACGAGGGGGTCTCGCCCAAAGAGGTCGGCCACAACATCTACATCCTGTGCCACCAGCTCGCCCAGCACAACAAGGAGCTCGCGGCCATGCTCAAGCCCGAGCAGAGCGCCGTCGACCCCAAGATATACAAGGCCCTGCAGTACTACGCCTCGCACACCGCGCAGATCGAGGTATCATCGACCGCGACGAGGCCCAAAGCCATCAACGGCCCGCGCGGCTCGACGACAATGACGTGTCAAATGTTGCAGATCGTGAGGAACGACCGGACCTTGGAGCAGATCGTCTTCCCGATACCCGAGATTTGCGAGCTCATCACGCACGACACGAAGGTGCGGGTCTACCACACCGCCGAGAGGGACGATCAGGGCTCGAAGGTCTCGGATTTCTTCGAGCGGACGGAGGACATGTTCAACGAGATGAAGTGGCAGAAGAAGCTCCGAGGTCCGGCCTTTCTTTGGAACCAGCCGATCCCAAGAACAATACATGTCCATATACGCTAACGATCAATTGTTCCTCTGCGCAGGTCAGCCCATGCTGTTTTGGGTCAGCAGTTACATGTCCACTTGGAGCAACATACTGTTCAACTGCGCGGTCCTCATCAACATAATCGTCGCCATTTTCTATCCCTTTACCGATCGCGTGCCACGTAAGCATCGTTGACACAGAAATCGGTTCTCAATGTTAAGACACACGTCATTTCCCTTAATTTCAGCTCTGAACTTTCACTTCTCCGTGTTCCTGTGGATCGTCATCATGGCGTCGGGAGGGTCGTTCATGTGCCTCGGCCAGCACGGCTCGGCGCGAATGCTGGTGCTCAGCTCGATACTGCGGCTCATCTTCTCGGCCGGGCCCGAGCCCACGTTGTACCTCCTCGGGCTGTTGACCGTAGTTTTCAAAGTCATACATCTCATCAGTATAATCGGCAATCAGGGCACCCTCACCAAAAGCATGGACCAAATCGTCACGAATTTCGAGCTGCTCTACCACGTTTTGTACTTGATATTCTGCGTCCTCGGCATATGCATGCATCCGTTCTTCTTTTCGGTTCTTGTGAGTCGTCCTTTTTTCTTTTTTTTCAAATATACCCCAGTTGGAGTTCATAATCTCTTCCATCGCCCGTTCGTAGCTCTTTGACGTGGTGTACCGGGAAGAGACTCTGCTGAACGTCATCAGATCCGTCACGAGGAACGGACGATCAATCATACTGACCGCGGTTCTAGCGCTCATTTTGGTGTACATGTTCTCGCTCATCGGCTACCTGTTCTTCAAGGACGACTTTTTGCTGAGCATCGACGAGGACATTACGTGTGAGTGTTTTTCTTTTTTTTTTTTTTTTTTTTTATTTTATCATCATCACTTACATCATATGTATGAAAGCCGAATCGAAATGAATGATGTTTTTTACTTGGGCTTCTCGGCAGCCAACTCGGACGACGTCTCGGGTAGTTGCCGGAAAGAGGGCGAGTCTGCGAGTAGCTGCGACATCACTGAGACAATATCAAAGTTTGCCCAGAAGAGCAGTGAGTTATAACGATGATGCTTTCGAGGACAAATTCATTATGAAATCGCGCGGATTGTAATGTGACGATACGTATTTCAGCCGAGCCAGCGTTCGTGCCAAGCGCCGAGGTCGTCAACGTCGGGGGGGAACTAAAAGAGCGAGCCTGCGACTCCCTGATCATGTGCATCATAACGACCCTGAACCAAGGACTGCGAAACGGCGGTGGCATCGGAGACATCCTCCGAGCACCCTCAAGCACGGTGGGCACACGCACACAACTGTTCATAAATATTCCACTCTCACTCCGTATACGTGTACGTAACATGTGTCGTGGAATATACGTGTTCCAGGAGCCGCTGTTCGTGGCAAGGGTGGTCTACGACCTGTTGTTCTTCTTCATCGTGATAATCATCGTGCTGAACCTGATTTTCGGCGTGATCATCGACACGTTCGCCGATCTGAGGTCCGAGAAGCAGCAAAAGGAGCTGATCCTTAAGAACACGTGCTTCATTTGCGGCCTGAATCGCTCGGCCTTCGACAACAAGACCGTCTCGTTCGAGGAGCACATCAAGCACGAGCACAACATGTGGCATTACCTGTACTTCATAGTCCTGGTGAAGGTGAAGGACCCGACCGAGTTCACCGGGCCCGAGTCCTACGTCTACATGATGGTCAAGGTATATAAGATTTGTTATACATATGTGGACATACGTATAACCAAGGAGGCCACGACAACCGTATATTTATATTTACTTGCGTGTTTATCAGGATCGCAATCTCGAGTGGTTCCCGCGACTGAGGGCCAAGTCACTGGCCGCGGACGAGGGCGAGGGCGAGCAGGTCGAGCTCAGGAGCCTCCAGTCCCAGCTCGAGATGACCCAGAGCCTCGTCAAGCACCTGTCCCAGCAGCTGAGCGACCTCCGCGATCAGGTAACCACCCTGCAGTCGCTATTGTCCAACTTCAACGCACGCCCGTGATTAAATACGTTTGGTTTCGTGTGATTCAGATGACGGAGCAACGAAAGCAGAAGCAACGACTGGGACTCTTGACCTCGGCGACGGCCTTTGCCAATCACGTCTCTTCGTAATTCGTTCTTGTTGCTGTTGCACCTCTTTTTCTCCATTTATATACAGGATTGCATGTTATTATTATTATTAACGAGCATTTGTGGCAACGTTAGGTCAATTGAAACGCGCGCGAAGGGAGTCTCGTGCTGCTTCGTTCCTATATCATATATATATATGTGTGTGTGTGTGTGTGTGTATAATATTATAGGGGAGATAGAGAGAAATGATGTTGTATCCGAACGTGTAATAATTGGCACTGCAAGTGTAGGGCCATACGTGACCATAAAATTAACATTTTTTTGTCCCCTCCCAGATCCCTGCAAACTTCGTTGAAAGTATATTACGTTGTGGCGTGATGTAAAAAAAAAAAAAAAAATAATAATTAATATATTGGAGTATAGGGGCAGTGCGTCGCAAAGTATACCTCGTAGAGTAAAATATAGGAGATATTATATTGTTAGGAAAAATGTCACATTCGTCTGATGGATCTTACGAAGAACTCGTCTGTGAATCTTGAAATGATTTTGCGTTACTTTTTTCATTGGAGACTGTACGCAAAGTTTAGTAGATGTATTTTAGATTTTATAGATTTTGCAGGAGTCTTTTATGCTCTAAATTCATTGGCACGACTATTTTTGAATATCGTTTGAAGTAAAAAGGAAAAACAAAAGAATATTAAAATAATGACTTTCTTGGTACTTAGAGATTTTTACATACTTATGCTTCTTTTTTTTTTTTTACTTTACTTAAAAAAAAAAAAATAATAAAAAAAATAAAACAAATAAACACGAAAGCAAACTAAAGATTTTTCGTTGCTAAAGTGTGAATCCGAAATACCTTACTACTGTCGTAAATAATTAAGTTTAACATATATTACATTGATTTTCGTAGATCGAAGATTTTAAAGTCCTGTGAAAGTGATTTGATCTTTGTTAATGTTATACTATGATGCACGTAGTGTTTAAAATATATTATATATGTATATGTATAGACAATTGTTTTTTAAGTGCTTGGCACCAAAAACTTGTTAAAGCTCGTTTTCATTAGTAAATGTTGGAGAACCAATATATAGTTAACTCTATGGTCAAGTTGAATCTTTGTCTTTATCTTTTTTTTTTTTTTTTTTTTTTTTCAAATAACAATCTCGTATGAATTGTTGCAATGAAATATACTTTTCAAGTGATCAATCGAGACTTGCTAACGAAAAAAGTGAAAGTTAGAATCTCAACAACATACCGATTGTAGAAACTCGTTACACATTACTTAGGGATCTTATAAACTCTTTTTATTCAGAGATATATATATATATTTTTGTATTTGAGTAATATTTCATTCATACAACTCGTATATTTAACGCTATTGGAATTGGAATTTTAAAACTTTGAGCTTTGCAAAACATTGTTACTTCATTACCGATACTTGTTTCCTTAGATAAATATTACTTGTAAATAATAATATAATTCTAAGAGTCTCGAGCACATTCTCGGATATTTGCAAACGCATATCACATTTTTTTTTGTTTTTGTATCCTTTGCTATCAACGTTTCGATGTCAAAATCCATGCTTACTTTGAGTAAACGATTGTATACGATTTGACGAAATCTCTGTTAAATCCTTTGAAATCGAAGACTACGAGCGCATTAAATTTTTCTTTCACACATACACATATGCCATCATAGAATTATACCTTCTTTTGTAAAATATCAAATAAAGAATGTTCATTTTTACAATAACTTTGATAACTTTTTTTGTTTTCCAATAGACATTGGAAAGAAATATCTATGGGGATGCAAGTAGGGCAAAAAAAATCAAAACTATTTCATTTCAGGTAGTGCTTCGTTATTTTTTTTTATTCGTTTTTATCTCTCCTGTTATATGAAACAATTGACTATTCATCGCGACTTAGACACACCCGTCTATAACGTACATATACATGTATATAACATACAACTTCTTTCGGAGGACCGGACATCAGACTGTGTCGCTCAACGTGTTTAGAGATGCCCACGAAACGTGGTCACCGGTGCGCTTAGCTGTAAATTCATTTTAAAATAAATCCAAACAATTGTAAAATTATTCACACGCACGACATACGTCGATACATTGAAATCGAATGGAAATCGTTCAGGGCGGACACACACACACACACAGACGCACAGTAACACAGGCCTATTTCTTCAATTTACATCGCAACAAAGATCGGTATATGACTACAAGTTCAACAAAGTCGCACAAAATTTATTTAGCAACAAATCTTCGGTTTCGCCGATAATATTGTTACACACCCTCTGTTTATTTATAACTTGGACACTTTCATCATTGTTTTGACGAGGTCGATGAGTTGTCTCCTTCCGAACGCAATGCAATAATATAATATATCTCAACACATTGGATCCCTATATTCACATTTTTTTTTTCTCCTCCTCAACCAACACAATTGACGCGATTCAGTCGATCATTTCGTACAAACATTGTTACTACGTGTCAAGCGATTGCTAAACGAAAAGACAGTCTGACTCGAGTTGCTCGCCTTTTTTTCTTTTTGTTTTTTCGAAAATTCTACATCTTCATAAAAATTTCATCCAAACCATGGTCATCGTACACGCGTTTTTCCCTGTATTATATGGTATATGTACACACAATCTTTTACAGGAAAAAAAAAAGAACAATCATTTTCAATTAAAAGTAAAAACGAGGGCTAAAATGGCTGTCGGGGCAAAGGAGCGAATCAATATGCGAAATTTCGCGTATCCTTCCGACGAGCGCGAATATCAATTTGCCTCGATCGGAGGTATATATATATATACACATAGGCTTCGATTATCCGCGGGTGATTGCGTTGCGAAAGATACGTATATATGCCCACCCGAGAAGACCCGAGTGATTGATCCGCATACGTCATCGTGGGCCTCCCTGCCTCCCTCCGCTACACACGCCGCGGCCGCAATTTTCGTGAATTACTCGGGGCTTATGGGCTCGATGGCGAACGCTTGGTATACATATACGTGCACGTACGGTGTGGAATAATTGCACGTACAAGCGCCAGGATGGCTTCGGGTTGAGAATTTATCGTTGCGGGTGATATAGGTATATTATAATCTATACCGGTTTTCTAACTGATTTCATGCAATTTTGGGCGTGGGTGTGAAAAAAGGTAACTCTGGGGCGTTCGAGCTAGGCTTTCTTTTGCGATAAAGTACGTACTTACAACACCTTTTTTTTTTTTTTTTTTTTGTTTATTATTCTCTTCGTGGGACGAATAGCGATAGAATTGACGAGGTAGCTGTTTTTGGCATTTTGTGACGCGAGTGAAAATGACATCTTTTTTTTTTTTTTTTCTCTTTGTTAGTGCAATTTACCGCGTCGAGTCAATTTCGTACGTGGTATCATTTTCTTCTTCTTCTCTGTCGTAAGTGTTGCAAAAAAATTCGATTTTTTTTTTCAGATTCATTTATTTACAGTGACTATACTCTACGGCTCAAGGGCGTGTTTTATCCTATGATCGAAATCAATCATTATGGTTTGTCCCGAACAAGACTATTCTTACAATCTTCAATTCAACGTTTTTTTAACTGACTTTTAATAAACAAAAATCATTCGATCAACACTAACGTCATTTTTCAAGTTCATTTGATCCGTTTTATCGGATTTAAAAGTTAGAAGGGCCATATTCTTTGTTGTTTATAGTAACAGTAATTACATAGCATGTCTCTTAATTTTCACTAAAGCCTATTCATTTTTATTTTGTGAACAAACGCTCTCGAGCCCTTTTTTCTCAATCCAATAGAATTAATAGTTTTTTATTTGAATCGATTTTCGTTACGTTTCAATGGAAACTAGACTTTTTTACACTTGAAAAGTCTCGGACCGCATGCTGCCATGAGACCAGATGCATACTTTATTTTTCATTCCTATTAGATGCGTAACATATTGTTTATTATTTATTTGTTATTTTTTTTATCAAACCCTATTTCGTTTATACTGTTGATACACGTATATTTATTCTATTAAGTTTATTTATTGGTTTATTCTTAATAATAATCAATAAGATTCATCAACAATTGATCGCTCAGAGTGGCTCGTGTATTGGTATTTGCTTGTCTACAATTATTATTCTTGTTGTGATTTATAGTATATGTACATTCACCTCCACGGGTGACAAATTGTCACCCCCACCAGCCCTTATTTCTCTAACGAAGCAAAAGAAGCATTGGTTTTCGCTAAATGTCAAGTTTAATTTTTATTGCCTGCAATAAATTTGCCAAATAAAAATGTTAGGCACGACAATTCTGAACGATCAACCTACGGGTTAACAATAAAATCGAGTACTGCCGGGGACAGGCGAAGCTCGTTCATTAAAATACATTGTTGCTTTTTTTCCTCCGCTTTCATACAAACGCTCGTCATTACGGAATTCATTATTCATCGTTATTTTTATTCATAATTTACAATAATTCCACACTGCGTTTAATGATAATTCATTACATTTGGTGTACTGTACAATTATACTAGTAATATTTTACCATCAGCTCACGGTCGTTTTGTACAATGTTTCGAAAAACTCAATGATTTGCGACCTCGTGAAAGTGCAAAAACACGTATGTCTTATGTACACGATCTTTTAATTTATACACGTATAGGTACAAAAAATTTCTTTACCATCTAGCTAAAAATAAACCTTTTCATACACGTAAAATGTGGTGAATGATGTCAATCAGAGATGATGAGAAACAATCTAAACCGATTACAATGAGGGTATTATTAAAAATAAAAATTTAACAATTATCAATTCGATCGCTGGTATTTAGAAATTCGATCGAGCACTGAATAACGAAAAATACGTAGCACAGCAGGAATTCATCCTTGAAACAGTCCGCACATACTTGTCATCTAATCGTAAAAAATACCTCTTGGCCACCTATATTGCACTCCAATTCTAGCGATTTACTCTCACACTCTTTCGTCTCGTTTTGCATCATCTTACAAAAATCCCAATTGTCTTTAAATATAATATGATAATACATATGAATTGTTTCGATGGTACCAACAGATGTATCTTGGCGTGGGCTCATTTTATCGCACAGCATACACAACAATACGCCCAAGGTCCGAGGAGGACAAGACAGTCACTACAGTGGCCCTTAGTACCAACAGCAGCAAGAATAACGTGGACCCACCAAAGCTGGGACTCGCCGAGGAGCTGACCATCGCCACGTTGATGCTACTGCTCGGCGAGTTCTTGTTGCGAGGCTTCGTTGCACTTTGGCTCCGCCACCTCAGCACGTACTGCGGAGCCGTGCGACCCAGTGCTTGCAACCTGCACGATTAAGTTAATATTAGCACGCGGTTATTTTGATACATCGAGCTGTGGGTATATTAAAGGAGGCGAAGGGATGCCAAAGCAACGCAAGGACGTGGATACGTGAAATTATTGAAGAAACGACAATGGAAGGAAGAAAACTCACTTGACGATGACGGAGCGCTTCTCTTGGCCGATGGTAAAGTTCCTCGCAATGTCCCGGGAGCAGAAGGTGTGCAGCCTCGGGCCCTCGTTGTTCGCGCTGGTCTTGTTGTACTCGTGCACCGTCAGATTCCAAGCTGTACACGGTCCTGCGATCACGCAAATATATTTGCACATTAATATCCTACGTCAGACGCACTGCACGTTATTTCGCTTGAAGAGTCTAGATAATGACCTTTTCGGTTCAATATATTTTTTTTTTTATGTATAACTCTTTTTCGCTGCTAAACAGAATAAAAACATCCGTGGAATATCCAGGAAAAGTTTTGAGTGCTGAGTTTCCAAAGAGCTTGCCTACTTTGCATTCATAAATAAACCGGCGGCGGTGGAGAGCTTTTACAACGTTTACATGCAAACCACTTTTTCGCTAAACTTTTGCATAAAACACGCACAAAACAAAAAAAAAAAAAAAAAAAAACAGAGTAAAAGAGAGAGAGAGTGCACTTTCCCGTTTACGAAGAAGCACCGTGCATGGGAGGAACCGCCCAGTCGTCTGTGAAACTTTGAAGTGGCAAAACGACCGGACGCTTTTTGCCTCCCGCTCTCCCTGTTTCGCTTTTTCCATCTCGTTTCTGAATGGCCAGCCGTCATTTTTTCCCTCATGAAAGCTCACTCCGTTATTTGTTACCTTTTTTTTTTTTTTTTTTTTTTTTTTTCGGCGCACAAATCCTTTGGGGCTCTGGGAAGCCTTAATACGTCGCGACCTGGTTTTTTTTCCCACCAACCGTAGGGATTACTTTTTTTGCGTCGGCTCGCCTTCTCGTTCCATGAACCGTGACACTCCCAGGTAAGTAGATGAGCAGGATTTTCTCAATGCGAGCCGAGCTACCTCATGTTTTGCTTAGTGTCGTGTATATACAGACGGAGTTTTTCACGATTTGTTTATTGGTGCCCATTAGATAGAAGTGCAAGAGCGGAATTCGTACAAAAAAATTCGTAATCCCATTTTATAATTATTACTTCAGTCTTTGTAAAAAACAAAGTTTCATCTCATGTTTTGAAGGAAAAAAAAAAAAAATGAAAGAAAGACTCACTCGTCTGGGAAGACTCGATCATGATGACGAGTTCTCGGTTTGCTGGCACCTCGATCAGATAAGTGCACTTTTGCTGGTAGTACCGGTTGAGGGCGAAGCTGAAGTTGGCCGAGAAGCCGGCGCGTATTTCCCCCTCGAGTTTCCCGGCGATTGCCTGATACGAGCCGCAGAACGTGTCGTCGGCAAACTCGTAGTCTGCGCTCAGATTGAGGCTCGTGTGGCTCGACCTCGACCACTCGATGTACACCGGTGTCGTGCTCCAGAACTCGACCGGCAGCCAATCCTACCCACGTAATGACAATTATCCGTTCAATATCATGTTATGGTTTTCCAAGGATATGTTGGATTCCAGAAAAAAGTGAGACTCACCCGATTGTTTCCACAGAGACATGCCAGCGTGTTGCCGTGGACTCGCGAGACGAGGAGCAGGTGGTCGATGTCGTCGAGCGAGCGGTTGCTCGCGCACCTGCAGCCCTGATCGCCGCACTGCGTCGTGCACTGGCTGTCGTGCGTCTGGTTCATTGTACTGTTCAACTGCCGGTCATCAGGACAAAGGAAAATAATACAATATTTTTGAAAAATTATAATAATTTGTACATTTCACTCTTTGATAGTGCAGTGCTTTCCACGTACCGTTATGATGACCGCCTGGTTGGCTGCTGGTATAAAGTACTGCTTGCATTTGACGTTTCCCGAGCTGAACCTGTTGACCTTGGGATGTACCACCTTACCCGTCCTCGGTGACCTCAGACCGTAGTACTCGACGTCGCAGTGAGTTTTGGGTTGCTGTGTCCCAGACTCACGCTCTGCAATCAATATTAAGGGATTAACTGTTTTTTTGGCAATATGCGAGTGATAACGTGTTGCAACTACGTATTTTTTTTAGAAATTTCGTTCGTACCGTCGGTTCAAAAAATCTCTAGACTTATACAAAGAGTTTATTCTCTACGTGCATTGACTTGCTAAAAATTCTCGGGAAGCTGATGTCTTTGGCTCACGTTTTATCTCAAAAAATGTTTTTCCCTTTTACCTCGTGACAAAAAGAGGAGCTTACATTGAAGTCCATTATGTTTTCCATTTAAATTATTTACCTTTTCAATTTTTTTCGTTAGCTTTTACGATTCTATCTTCATCTACTCACTGGTGCGTGTCTCTCAAGTTTTTATAGTTTTTAAAGGGACATAAATGGACTGACAACGGGTTTAAAACAAAGAGAATCCTTCTGATCCTTTAATTTTAATAAATCTTGCTATTTTCTGTATTTTTTGTTAAAATAACTTAAACCGTAATGTAAGCAAACACATTTTTTACGACAAAAATAATAATGCCTCCTCAAAAATACAGTACAGTGAAGTGCATTGAGCTAGTAGTGAAGTCTCGATATGGTCAGACCCGCTGGTCGTTGGTGCTGTCCTCAAGTATTAGAAAAAATTGATTGATTTACTAAATTAGCAATGTACTATTGAAAAAGTCAAGGAAACTATATCAAATACCGTACTAGAATGTAAAAATCAGTTTATTAAACAAGTAGTAATATCCCAATATAGTCAGACACACTGCATCTAATGCTGTTCTAAGGAAGGAATAGCAGTTTAATAAACAAGTAGTAACAACCGCGTTATGGTCAGGCAAGTTAGATAAGAAGGTAAATTTTGATAGGCAGCTGAAATAAGCACCCAACCATGGGTAATGTAACCTTATCCACAAAAAATTTAATTCGGTTTACCCACACAATAGTACTTTAATACAATTTAACTTAGAAAAAACAGTTTACGGAACAAGTAGTGATAAATTAACATGGCCAGACAAGCTTAACTTAATGCTCTCTTAAAAAAGGAAAAGCCGATTCTTAACCAGTAGTAATACTCTCATAGTCAGATAAACTAAACCTAGTGTTCTCTTGAGAATGGAATATCAAGTAGTTATATTCCTATGTGGTCAGACACACTACAAATAATATAGTCTCAAGGATAAAAAAGTAGTTCACTGAATTGGTGGTAATACAATTATAATTATAATTATATTATAATAATGGTGGTAATAAAACAAAGTTTGGAAAGCAGCAAAGTAGTTTAATAAGCTAGTAGTAATACTCTGATGTAGTCAGACAAACAGAATCGAAATGGAGGCAAACTAACAGTCTTTACCTGCTAAGCCATCGAGTTCTTTTTTTAGCTTGGCTTCATAAAATTTTTCTCAACCCCTTGTCCCTCACACTCATGGGAATGACGACTGCCAAAATATTGTCTGTTGTTTGACTCTTGTGCTACAGAAGCAGGTATTTTTTCCGTTAAAACTTTTTTTTTTTTTTTTTTTTTTTTCAACTGTAAAAGAAAGAAAATTATTCTGTTTCCTTCAATGTTTCCAGTTACAGCATATCATGAAAATATTTACTCTTCAAGCTTTTTTGCACTTCAATTTTGAATCCTTAGGCGTTGCTGTAATATTTGTACCTCAGTCTGCCTTAGCATGCGTGAGTGAACTCTCCGGATTCCAACATAGTTGTGAGTAAAATTTGCTATTTAAAAAAAAAATAAGCTTGTGTTGGAAAAATTTACCGATCGAGGAAGGAAATCAAATGCTTTTTGTGCGTAAAGATGAGAATATGATAAAAATTGTAGTAGGGTGTAATTTCCAGCATTTCGCGTTCACGAGGATTCTTCATCGTTTGCGCGTATGAAAACGCTTGCACATACAAATTTTCGCTCCCTATCCCGGATTCGCACAATTTTTCCACCCTCGTTAGCAGAGCACCAGCTCCGCTGTGCTATTTTTCTCTCTCGTTCCGTCCATTTTTCAGCTCTCAAAAATTTTTTCCCCAGTTTGCATGTTTTTTTCCCATCTTCACCAGCACGTCATCCACTCTTGGCTTGATTGAAGAGTACACAGACACACACACACACACACACACGTACATCGAACATGTAAAATCTGATGAAGTTGGTTCATCTGCTCATTCACTCGCATTTTTACCGCGCTTCCACTCGTTAGTCTTGCAGTCTGTATCAATCTTTCGATGGTGCTTGCACGACGAGCAAATCCAATTTTTCACTCCTCATCGTCAAATTTTTTCGCATCTGTAAACCCGACATCTGATCCTTGGAAAAGTTTTCCGAAAGTCAGTGTACGCTAAAAGTTGAAAGGAAGGCAAGGCAAAGCAAAGGAAAACATCGTCGTAGAGTATCCCGGTAACGAGATTAGATGCGGGGGCCAATTACCCAAGCGACTCGGGCAAATGCGCACACGCTCAAAGTGTCCGGTGAGTACGTGGTGTGTACAAACGAGACGGGACGGAATGAAGCGGAGGCGGAGAAGGTACACATCTTTGGCATCAAAGGGCACACGCACTTTGGGCTCGTAGCTCAACGGCTTTGACATCTAAACTGTGGGTGATGTCTCGTCGTATGATTCTTTGACGTGGTGTGTGTCCAATTATTTGATCCGTGGTGCAAAAGGATGGTCGAGTCAAACCTATTCGATGGAGAGCAAAATTACCGAGGAAGCTGAGCAGCACCGTAAATGAACGGAGGATAACCCACGACCTCCTGGTACCTTGCAAAATGTACAAGTAAAGGAGAAAAACAGAGACACTGGCTGATCTTTCCAAGTTTCGCGTTTGCAGGATTTTGCGACGCCCTGCCCTCGACTTTTTTGGGTAATTGAGATAAAAAGAAAGCAATGTGATTAAAGGTGTCTTACCGTTGTGGAAGTAGTACGAAACATCCATGTAGTCTTCGTCGGTGGCTCGCGTCAGTATGATTGTCATGTTTCTGCTGCTCGACGAGAACCTTTTGAGCTCGTTGTGCCTGAAACACGGAAAAACGATAAATGAAGCTTTTGATCCTTGTTTAAAAAATATTTCAGTAGATTGGTGGTGGATCTTTACATGAGAAGTTCCCCAGAGAATCGACAAGCGTCGAGAAAGCTTTAGTAATTATCTTTGAGCAGCTGTTCAGTGCTGTCCCAATTTTCCAGGACTTTTCATGTTAAATATTTTACAGTAGAATTAGTTGAAAAAACAATTGTATCAGATTATGTTTTAACAAGTAACACTTGGCTTTGGTCCTTTCCTCTAACAATGGCTCAGAGCAATAAATTGACACTACAGTCGGAGCATGCAGAGATAAAAAGATACCCCTGCTCAATAAATAATGAGATAGGTAGGTACGTTGATTTGTGAAGGTTACACGTTGTCAAGCTTTACTCTGAGCTACTCAAAATTTTACAAGCAGCGCCTTTATTTCCTTCAAAGGTAGAGAGCAGCTTGAAATTTCGAGGGCGGAGAATGCGATGGCATAATCCATTATATACGAATTCACAAATCACTCGTGAGCCATTCTCTTTCTCTCTCTCTCACACACACACACACCGTACACAGTGGAAGGCGGGCAGGTCTAGCTCGTGTCGACATACCACGTCGACGTTTGTAGCTCGGTTTTAGGAACTAAAGAGGAAGAAAGTTAATTTTGTTGATCGAGCCAAGAGGTTTAATACCAGTTTGTTTTTGGTTGATTAAATTTGAATTTAATTAGATACTCTATGAAGTATAAAAAAACCTATGCAAAAGAATGATCGTAGTGCTAATAAGATAGTCTAAAGGTACAAAAGTGGGCCAACTGACTTAGTTCCTCGGTTGAGGAGCACCTACTCGTTACCGCGGCTCAAGTGTTCAAGACCGTATAATACCATCCCTCCGATACATCGTTAGGTGCTTTTGTATAACGGGGTGGTGGTGGTTATACAATGTATCCTCGGGGCTTAAAATTGCAGGCGATGCACAAAACGTCTCTCGTCTGCTCCCACTAACGAGTTCAGAGTAGCGTTGGTTGAAGAGGAAGGATTCTCCCTATTTCACAGCATAGTTGGAATAAAATTATATTTTTACAAAACCAAACCCAGCAGATTATTGTTTATTCGCTTTGTTGTTAAAATTACAAACGTATGAAAATTGTGGGGAAAAAAGGAGTCCAGCTGATATTTTTTTGGGCCCCATAAACAGGGTAAAGTAACCCGATCTTTCCTTCTCGGCCCCGACCTCCTCCTTTGCTCGTGTGCATCATAAATCATCGACAACCAACTACACATGTACCACAACGGTAGCAATGGGAGCTGTTGTGTTTATCCCACCGTGGCCCAGTAGTAGTAGAAGCAAAAGTGCCAGTAGTGGTGGTGGTAAGGCCTGGGCCCGTAGTGCATTAAACTCGGCCATAAATCAGAGAGCACATCTCCGCTCCCCTTGGCCCGTCCCTCTTACGCAACGGGCAATTATAAAAGCACTCGGAAAGCTTCGGAAAGCGCAAGAGCGAGGGAAAGGTAGTTGGAGATGTCCAGAGTGGCGGGACCGGTAGGCTACAGCCGGATGTTTCGGCGGCTGCTGCTGTTGTTCCTGATGTGGCTCGGGCGGATGCAGTTCGGTTGTGGGCCGCTGCCACTACCGTCGCTTCTTCCGGATGGGACGCCAAGAACAAGCGCAAACGTGCCTCCGCTTCTGCTCTTCCTTTGCTCACTATGTTCGAGCTGGAAATTCCAGTCACGCTGTGCTCTTTCGGTACATAGATAGATGGCTTTGGTTTTTTTAACTGTCGGAGTTAGGACACATCGATCGCTGGTGCATTATGACTCGGATACATCTTAAGCTCAAATTTTTTCGATTCCCAATTGGAAAGCGAGCTATATGCTTTTGTTATTTATTTATTTATTTAGCTGCTTATTTATTGATGGCTCAGACAACAGATTTGATTTACAATCAAAATCATCACAGTTTGTCAACGTATCTTTCAGAGCAAACGGCAGGGGGGGCTCTTGATATGCCAGCGCACATAGTGCGGCACATTTAGAGATAAATCAATCCAATCCTACCTACGTATGCTCAGAGAGAGATGGAGAAAACAGATTTGCGAATCTAGCGCGTGTACAGTTCGGCACGCAATTTCACACGAAGGCAAGGAGTATATAGGGCGAGGAGAGGACGGGGAGATCGATGCTGTACAGCATAGGTGCAGATCGTACATTTATCTTACAAGTGCGCACTTGTATGCAAACTCGCTTGCTCACTCAGTCGAACAGTACGTAATGAGCCATGTTGAAGGTAAAACTGTATCCCCGAGATGTGAACGACAATTTTTTGAATTTTGGGTTCGCGAATGCTGCATGTAACTCGCTTTGTCTGACCATAACTAGTTCGTACTACTTAAAATTCAAGCCGGACGGTTTTTATGAGCGTTAGACCAATGGATAAGCAAAAGGGGGCTCAAAAAAATGCATAACTCACAGTCAGTGTGGAGAAAAAGAGGAAACGCAAGCGGCGAATATCGTCGCGCGCGAGCGCATGAAAAACAAGCTCCGGGCGTTTGCCGTAAATCGCGAAAGAGAGAGCTTGTGGCTGCCACTTTCGCAGGCACGGAGGTGGAGGCGCCAACCACTGGAAATTAAAATAGATTAAACGCGCCTGCGTCCATTGTACCGTGAGTTTGAGTATATATCTACATATAAGCCAGTGGGGTGGAGGAGCACAGCGCGAATTCTCGCGATTTTATGAGGCGCGAGGCTGGCACGGACAGACAGGACTACGCAAAATCGCTTTTCTCCCACTCCTCTTCTCCCCGTCGAGATTAAGCATGTTATATAGACTCGGAGGGGGGTGAGGGTGGATTGAAAATTGCACTCGCTCTCGCGATGAAGGTGGGCTGGTATATTTTGTCGTCGAAACGAGGAAGGACGGATCGAGGCTTGTGTATGAATAATTTATTGGTGCTCCGCTCGTGCTGGTGAAAGTTTCAGGTGGTCCTCTCCCATTAGCCTGTTCCGATCGAGAGTGTGTGGATATTCAGCTGCTGATGTTGAATTGATTGAAATCATTATTTGTCGCCCGTTCGAATACGACCCACTGATTACGCGAACTTGGTCTGACCTAATCCGGATACCGACTACTTTGATTTGCGCAGATAAGTTCTTGTTCGTTATTTTCCTTCTGTTTGACGGGTATTTTAATTTATAGATATGAATTTTTAATATTTTGACGTATCGTAATCCTACCTGAGTACGAAAGACACGTTTGGTTTGTAGTTAGCTCGGTAAAATTTTATTTGAGGTGCGCGAATTTTCCACGCTATTGTAGGATTACTTGTTCTTTGAAAGTAAAAAACGAATTTTTCCGGATCATTGTGATTTGCATGCTTAATACGTTTTCAAATAAATGCGACACGGAGGTAAAATATTTTCGACAAAAGAGAAAAATCGGGGTGACACGGGCATATCTACGTGCGCTCGGGTCGATGGAAAAGTATGCACGCGATGCACGTGATCGAAAAAAACTGTACGTGTTTCCAGCAACAACGCACAATGGGAGATTCTCTCCAGGGACACCTGCTGCAGAGCTTCTCCCACGCAATTTATAAAATACCTCGGATATATCAATACCCCGATGCTGCCATAAAAGCACGAAATCCGGCAAAACGCGATTTCCCACTGGAGGCGTATCTACTGAACGACTTGGTATTCGCATATCTTCCATGAAATAGAGGAGGGGGAGAAAGTAGGTACGTTTAGTTTGTACATTTTTATCGATAGATTTATTTATTTTTCCTTTTCTTTCGTGTCATGAATCAATTGCAAAGGGTCGCATTTAATAATGTACAGCATCGCAAAAAAATGTTCAATCACAGTTTTGAAGTCTAAAAGTTAAAAGTTTAATTTAAATTGAATTTCTAATTCAACAAAAGTTAAAGTTATGGTTGTTACAATTATTATTATAAAATGCCTAAAAAACTATTGCGTATCAAAAAAAATTTTTAAAGTTGAAATAAATTTTCACAAGGAGTTACAAAAATCCCTCATTTAGTTATCATATAACAAATAGGACAAAGAAAAAATTTAATTTCGCATATTGGAACACAATAGCACAAACAAACTATTCTTAAATCAAGCAGATTATACATTTGTACAACGATGCATTAATTTGGATGAGATAAGGGATATATTCCTGTAATCGATGGACGAATATGTCAAACTATAGGTAAACTCCATTAGTTTCCAGTGTATTATTTGCAATCGGAGGGACACTACTTTTGTCAATAGCGAGCCCGCATATATATAGGGTACGTTATGTGGTATGCATTATGCGTAAAATATGCGCGTTTGGGTGGCAATTTTCGCACCGATGAAAAGTGGATCAATTATGTGCACTTCTATTGTTCTCATATAAATAACTCAATTGTTATGTTCGTGTACATAGTGCATAGCATTATCTTCTCTTGTTTGCGAGTCCAAAATTACGCGGGGGACCAACATAACGTTTATTGTGATTCATGCGTGTCTGTGCGTTTTCAGATGCCTCAACAGTGCAACTGTTTACTATTATGTGCAAATATGTACCAATCGGATGATAATTGTTATACTCACTCGTTCGACGACGTCTGTTTCTGATTATGGGCTATCTCGTTATCGTTGCTGCATATTTTTCCTATCGATTTGGCACTGCTCGGAGAACTTTTATCATTCATCAGGCCGCCCAACACTTCGATCTGCGATTTGCAGGCGCCCGAGCTGTAATCAATGTGATTTTCTTTTATCATTACATGAGTTGCTTTAGCAAAAATAAAAATAAAATAAACGGAACAACAGTTAGTTCAGCTTTTTATTAACTGTAATAACGAAACGTTTCTGAGGGTTGAAGTTTAATTTTAATAAAACGTTTAACGGCAACATTCATCGGTCTTTCATTTTGTTTAGTAGACCATTTGCCGTCATCAGAATCTTTACAGCATCCAAAGCAAGTTTATTCCGAATGTTAAATGTAATCAGAGTGAAACATGGTTACCTTGGGTAAGTAATTACACATGGGGTTTTAATTTTGTTAATTATCATCAAAAGCTTTCCAAACGAGAAGATAAATGGAAAAGGGTATAGAATGGTAGGGAGGGGGGCTTGTAAAACAATTTAATAAGATTTAATAATTAAAGTAATGGTTTTACAGTAGGGTACAATCGATGCTTTAAATTAAGCCAACTTTGAAACTCCACTCGTTCGAGAGGGTCAAACGTTTGGCTCGCCAGGTACCTTCGGAAGTTTCTGCTCCACAGATTTTAGCCATTTACACAGCTTCATAACGAAGTTAATCACTGAGGTATAGGGAGAAAAGTTAACTTGGGAAAAGTAAAAAGTTTTGGAAACAAAGAGTGATTAAAAACTTTGTGTAATGTCAATTAATATTTTGTGACGCACAATAATTTTACATTTAATTAGGGTGATTTTTTTTTTTTTTAAGAAACATTCCAATAAAATTAAAATACGAAGCAGACCTTTCCACAGAGAGTGAGGGGGGAAGGAGATCAAGGTGGGGTCCAAGTCTCGAGAAAACGGTTCCACAGTTTTACTTATGCGCGGTAGAGAAAGAGAGCATCTTCCAGAGGAAAAACAAAGTTTGCTTTTCTTCCGGGCCTCCTCAGTCTCGTTCGAAGTCGTTGGATCCCCTTATCCTGTATCCATATTTTCATCCCTTCGTACCTCTGTACGTAAAGGTCTACGAGTATAAAGAAAGGAATCGTGTGAAAGACGTAAGCAAGGATGCAAAGACTTCCTGGGGCTACACGGAGTGCTTTCTCGGTTCAGTGGCGGTCAGATTTACAATATTCCATTTGATATTCATGCCAGAGAGCGGGAGTGGCGTGGATCTCTAGTTGATGTAGATAGATACAAATGCCCACAGTCTCGAGTGCTCGTGGTTTTTTCACTACTCTATTTTTTCTCTTTTTCTTGGACCCTTTTCCTTCGTTTTTTTTCGACGTGTTTTGTGCAGACACGCGTATATCATATGCAAAATGGTGTACTTTGGTGAGTACGTTTTTCAACAAAATTTATAGATTCAATTCATTCATGCGGCAAATCACCTAATTGCACTACACCCGTATGCATAAAATTAAACCGAGTACTGTATGGTACGTAAATCATAAGATTTGATTTAATTTCACATTTTTAACTCTTTATCCTCCTAATGCTCAGCTAGTCTAACTTTGCACTGAATACATACACCAAGATGATTAAATTTTGCGTTTTAAGGTCTCTTTATTCTTGAACGAAATATCATGTCTGACTAAATCTGCGCTTGTACTACTTGTGCGTATCAACCAATGCAAAATTATACATGGAATCTATTAAACTTGATTTAATTCCTTGCTCTTAACGTCTCTGTTATCGCATTATATGGCCCGTCTGACTAAATCTACGCTTGTACTACTTAAACTTGGTATAAATCCACTGTTGAAGCTACCGGATTAACTTTTAATCGTTACAAGCTCACGAAAAGTTTTCATCCCGAGTATTAAGAGCTCGTTACGCATGAATTATTCATAAAGTTACTGAAAATATATTGACAAACAAAAGCAAAAGGCACAAACTTGTCACGGATGCATCGGACGAAATTTACCGATTTCCAATTGGATTGTCACGACTCAGTGGGACCTCTAAGCTGTAGAACTCAATTGAAAAGAAAAAAAAATATTAATCAGGCTAGATTTCCAATTCCCATCGTCCAAAGGAACAGGAAGGGAAGGAAAAAATTTAACAAGTATAAGAGAACAGGGATGAGCAGCAGTCGAAGCCGCGAAATAAGAGAAATCAATTCCAGAATCCGCTCGCTCTATACCAACAGCGCCAACGAATAGGATCCGCTGGCTCTGCCAAATGTGCGCGCAAGATATTTTATTTATGAGCCTCGCCCTCCACCAACTATTGATTTTTTTCCCTTCGCCTGCAGTGTTTCAGGCCTCGTTACACTACCGCACAAGTGCCACGTGCGCAGTACGCATTATCGTAACGGCAAAGTTCGATGATGTGCTTGTTTTTATCTCCCGCGTGATCCTTCCGTTCTGTATTGTCGCTGCCACTGCTATTGGTTTTTACGAGTCACCGATTACGAGACATGGAGGGGGGGGGGTCGTTCGGAGGGCAACTTTGACGCTGCAACGGATAATTTAGCTCCGAAAGATAGTATCGCGTTATCGGGCGTTTTATTACATTTTCCTGTTGTCTCGAAGAGTCCAATACGAAACATAGTGCCGTTTTGATGAATAATTCAGTTTATCCTTGGCCATAAAATATTAATTTCAACATCCAAACTCGTACTCGCTCCTCTGGGTGGGTACTTTTTAGAGTACGCCATCAAGAGATAGAAAAAAATATGCTCGAACGAATTTTCGTGTCTTACCCCGCGATGTCATGTTACGAAGACGAGGTTTCCTTAGTTCGAAAGGAGATGGAGGAGGTGTCATTTTCAGACGCGTGATATGCTCTGATTCGCATTATCGGTATGTATATGTGTGTACAAATGTACAGTTATGAGTACAACTTCAACTGCATAGAAAAGCCATTTGCGCAAAAAGCAAAGGTGTTGATGGGTCTAGGTCTTACATTTCGACGAGTGATTTTCCGTCTGGCGGGTCTCACCCGTAATTTCCACCTTCACATATTGCATCTCTGCTTTCCTATTTCCAAGACTAGAATCTTTCGGAGGATTCGAAATTCGATTGAAAAAAAATAAAATAAAATAACGAGAACCGTTTTGATGACACATTTCATGTTGAGCACAATTTATTGACTCGAAGCTTAAAATTTAACACAAATTAACTGCAGCATCATCAGTGGAGCCACTCCACGTCTTCTATTGTTTCCTCTTTGTACCGTAACAACAGACAATGGGCTCGTGCGTTCGCAAAGTTTCTCTATTCAGCCTAAATGTACCTCCGAAATATTGGGAACAAAGTGCGATTGTTTACTTAGTAATTAGCGCGCTAGTTACTGAAACAACAACATTCAAAGGATGTGGGACACAATTGTAGATTCTCTCACCTCACAAACTAAAACTTAAAATTGCAAAATCATAAATCAAGAACATAAATTTATCTATGCAGTGAAAAAAGCAAGAAGTAGAAAAATGAATGTTTTTAAATAAGGAGTATGGAAAAATATTATGTACAAAAATGTTAAATAGGTTATACGGGTACTACATGCTCACATATAATTATGTAGTGCAAGAGACTCTCGAGAATCTCGCGGTAATGACACAAAAAAGAAAGAAAAAACAACAGAAAATGATAGAGAACAATGGAGCTTTGGTACAGCATGAGGCACAAACGTATACTGTATGAGCAAGGTCTTAAAAAAAAAAAAAAAAAAAAATGGCTTGTATTTGATAAGAGAACTCATTATACGTATACCAATAAACGAGGGTACTCTGTACATGAGCGTGCCAGCGAGCAAACGTTGGCCCGAGCAAATACAAACTCTTTTTCCGCGTCGCCTCATTCGCTCGTTCGAATATGCTTATTGAGCTAATGCTAATTTTGCTATTGCTGCATCATAAAGTAAACACAACATGTCCAATCGAATTATTATTATTTTTTTATGCTCACAGCTCTCTGATTCTATCGAATATCCGTGAGCGAAGTTGTATTAAATTTTTTACGTTTATCCTGCACCTCGATAATTGAGACTTTAATTGTAGAATATTCTGGACGCTGGCGAGTGTAATACTTTGTACTTTTGTTTTTAATTTCCGGATATCAATTGCACTCAACTGCAGCTTTTATTGTTATTTGTATGCTTTTTTTTCACTTTTTTTTTCACTCCTCTCTACGTAAACGATAGTGTGGACAATGTGTGCTCAGATCTCGTATGTAAAAGACTTTTTGGTCATTTTAATCCTCCGTAGGCCCTAAATCAAATAAAATTACTTGAACCCTCAAGAGCGCTCAAACAAACTGATTTACAGAGTCACAATAATTTTCTGAAAGTTACGAGACAGATGTATTAATCACCCCATGCATCAAAAGAGCGGAGCAAGTGCAGGGACGGGCGATTCAAAGGAAGGTGATTGTAACTTTTGATATTCGTTTTAAATAATGATACAGCTCGCCCACTCCCGCGTCAATAGAACCCGCGTTAAATCATTTCTGAAAGGCCCTCGTTTCCCTCCCCTTGCCCGGGGCCGCAAGTTCAAACGATTTTTCATCCCCAACTTTTTCAACGAGACCGGCGCGAGTGACAAATTGAAAAAGTTTCCGCTCAAAAGAGAAAATGGCCGATTGAGCCTATTACTGTTCAACAGCACACAAAACTACGAGAGTTAGTCTGCAGCAGTTAGGGGGGGGGGAGTGAACGGAGAAAAATTTTGGTGACTCGCCTTCGTGTCCACGTGATTCACGAGCTCTATGGGGCATGTGGCCGAGTGCGTGACATTAAATTTTTTTCTTATTTGCTCTCACCCTGAAAAACTGGTCAAAGAGCAGAATAATTTATTACAACGTCCATTCACTTGCGGTGGTGTATTTTGCGCTCATTTGTTTTTAAGTATTTGAACAGAGGGAAATTAGTTTTGGTGCAATTCATTTATTTTTGGGCGTCATAATCTTTTCCTTTTTCTCTTTCGTACTCTTTCTCTGGACTCATGTCTGTGTAACTAACTAATTTTCTGAGGCAGAAAATGAAAAAAAAAAGCGTTTGAAGGTAGAGTCAAGGTGTGAAAAAACGAAAGGTTTAGGGGTGGATAAAGAAAACAAGTACCACTATACAACTTTGCGTTCGTGACCGCGAAAAAATAAAGTAGTCTTTTAAGCTTTTTCTGGCCAAAAAGTACCTCGTGAAGGTAAAAGTTTTAAAAACACAAAAAAAGGCAAAGGTTTACTTCAACTATACATTAAAACAGACTGTCAAGTATCCATCCCCACTTTCCCATCCTCGTATGGAGGAGCTTACTTGAGACTGTAGTTGGCCAAAGACACGTGGACGGTGTCGTAGTCGCGTCCGATGAGGCTGAGCCGACAGACGACGGGCAGAGCAGCCAAGATCGCGGTCCGACTGCGCGTACTCTGGAAGCCCATCCTCAACTTGTCACCACTGACCTCGACATCGCAGTTGGAGCGCTGGTGATGTGCTCCTGAAGTACTGCCGTTGCGCTGCTGCTGTTGGCTGCCACTTGGCGATGTCACCGAGTATGGACTGTCCACCAACGCATCCAAGCCGTTCTCCAAGTGAATTAGCTCTAGTAGGAGAGACAGAGACAGAGAGAGAGAGGGTGTCGTTACGGTATCTCAGTTTTTACTTTGACTCGCGAGGAAATGATTACTCTAATCATATTAAACCAAGGGATTCAAGTAATGACAATGTCTGACCAAATATTGACTTATACTACTTGTGACTTATGTTACTCTATAATTTATAATCGTCATACGAGCTTTTAGTAATTGAGCATTAAATTTATACAAAAAGAGACATGTACAAAGAAGAATAAGTAATGCAAAGTTTCCTCGTTACTTACGTGCTTTGCTCGTGCTCTCGACAACAGTCGTTGTAGTGCTCGCAGTCGTGGGTGCTTCTGTCGTTATTTCAACAAAATTCAGTGTGGCGACGAATCCGTTGTAGTCGAAGGGCGAAACTTCAGCGCCAGATCTGTAAACAGTGATGAAATTAGTCCGTGTTGACTGTACACTTGCAGTGCATTTTATTTTAAAAAATAATAAATCCTAGACAGAGCTAAATTTTTGTAATCCAGAATTCAGTATTTCCATGCAACAAGCACCATCTGGAGAGATGAATAATTACAACTCGATTTTTTTTTTACTAAACGACAAAATTCTAATGCACCAACCAAAAGTATACGTATAAATATATGTGCACTCGGCTACCTAAATTCAACGAGGAGGTCCCTCCCGACGTGCACCACACTGCCCGTCTTTTTTTCGCACAGTGTCCTCAGTAGTGCGCTGTTCGTCGTCTGACCGGCGTAAACGGCGATGTAATCACTCGTACAGTGCCTGGAAAAAAAAAAAAAGAAAACTCCTTCTTTTTTTTTACGAAAAAGCTTTTGATTCAGCTTTGTTGGCGTATTTTATGTATAATTGCACGTACAAAGCGCTTATTCACAGCCTAGAAATTAAGTTTGTAGGCTTTTTAGAAGATGTGCGAACGGCATTTTTTCAGAAAATTACGGGGTTGAAAAAAAGAGGGGGAATCCAATAGTGCAAAAATTGTTTCTTGAGAGTTACTTGTGGAAAACTCTGTCCGAAAAAAAGGCCGAGCAAACTGATTCCGGGAATTTTTTCCATTCGCCCGCCTCCAGAGTTAATTAACTTTTTCGCCGTAGCCGCCTTTTTTTCCCAAAGCTCCGAAAATAAACCGGGAAAAAACAGCGGCGACGCGCGAAAGCCAATAGGTATTTCGGGCTAGGCAAACAAGCTCAATTTGATTTGTGCCGCGCGCGCGCGTCTGAGGGAATATATATATCGGACACGGCAGTTGTGTACACGGACCGGGGAGGATAGCCGGGGAAAATAGTTTTGCACCATTTTCTGTTCCAACGCGCTGCTCGGTTGGAAAAATCGGATAGCCCTTTGCCTTCAGGCTGCGTGACGTACACTCGTAAACTTTTCAAAGGATTTGGGGGTTAAATCGAATACTTCTGGAACATGCGTGCTCGTGAATAGGAGTGAGTGGCGTTTTGTGAAAAAGCTCGGCAAGAGAGCGACACTTTGTGTCTGCTGTTCTTTGTGTTGTTTGTGTCGGTTGGCTCGAAAGAGCTGTATTGCGGACTTTATACCTCGTTTGGCGCTCTAGTGATGCTTTTTTCCTCTTCCGTTCGTTAAAAGCGGTTTAACCGTCAATCGAGTTACCCGGAAATTGCTGTTTTTTTTGGGGAAACGATCGTAAAAGAATCAAATGCATGCCCATGGGGTGTTAAAATCCCGGGGCAAGTGGGCGCGAAAGCGCTTCGGGAAAAAGAAAAGCCGACAGTTCCATAGATCGATAACAACTCGAAAAAACAATGATGAGTATGTGTATGCACAACAGCGCGCGCAGGCGTTCGTCAAAGTAAACTCTGCTGTAGATTTTTCCCGTAACTTTTTTTTTTTATTCACCAAGAGATTTTCCTTTTTTCTGTGTACCCTGCGAAATATAAAATTCGAATGGTCATTGAAAAGTGGAGTTGAATAAAGAAAACTTTTTAATGAAAATAGTGTGTACAGTTCGATAAATGAGATTGTGCAGCGTTTAAGGGAAACAGAAGACAAATTGTCTCGCAGCTTACGGAAGCTTAATAGGGGCACAAACGAAAAAAAAAAAAAAAAAAAAAAAAAACACGAGAACAAAATTAAGATGGGAGCAGAGGTGCGGGTGCGAGAAGATAAATAAAACAGAGAGAAGGTGGCAAAGAGAAATTGCTGGAAAAGAAACGACGTGAACTTTGTGAGAAAAGTTTAGAAAAGGCAGCGTAAGACAACCTGTAGATAATAAAATAGCATACAGTTAAACGTAAATAGATATACTTTTTGCCTGTAGGAAAATTAAATGAATAAATAAATAAACTTAAAAAATGCACGATTAAAAAAATATAAATCATGGAATGGACGGGCACACCGAGATAACGATTGAACATAGTTGACCGTAATGGTACAGTTAAATATTACCGTCATGTGATGAGTCGTCATTTAATTACCGTAGAAATGATATTTGGTGATATAAAATTTCCTTCTCCTTAGTTTATGTTATTCAAATAGAACGAATTACGATCAACCCGGGAAATTAAAGATTTTAATTGTCATCCTCCTTGGAAAGTCAATTTATCAATTTACCTGCGGTTTATGCTTACATTTTCAAGATATTTCTGTTTACGGAGAAAATATTTTGATTTCAAAGAGTGTAACACGCACCTATAGATCCGATTGAACAAAGTCTGTTGAAAATTTTACGAAAACAGTATTTTTTTTTCCCCTGAAATGATTGATTTAAAATAACTTTCGTTATGTGTATCCATAACGTACAAACCTAAACCCATAATTATTCGGCATTTACTCGTGCGTTATTACGCCAGGGCTAATGCATTTGTTATCTCTGTTGATCTTTCTATTTTTTTAAATGACAAAAACCCTATCGAACACCTTAGTACTTGTGAATCTATGCAACATCGTATGTCTCGTCAGTGAAAGGAAAAACAGGAAGAAAAGCTTGAGAAAGAATAAAAAAACCTTCAAATAAGCTATAGTCACGAGTTGCGTTAATCATCGCCAGAAAAACTCTCGGCCACTAATTTGAAAGTGATTCAGACAGTCTGTCTCCAAACCAAATCTACGTAGGTACAGCAAAAAGCGTGGGGCAGCCCAGTAAATTATCTTTAAAAGCAGCCGTACGACCGAGGCTTTGGGAAAGGGTCTCTTCTTTACATTTGCATTTTTGACCCGATGGCAGAGATGAAGCCATCTTTTATACGCAAGTATACATATATACACAGTCCATGGTATCCCCTTCGCTAATGTACTTTGAATCCAGAAGAAGAAGAAGAGGAAAAAAGAAGAGAACCGTCAGTCATCTACGAACTTCAAGTGCAAGCGACCAGTTAATCCATATGGAATTGCTCATCATTCCGTAATTTCGTATCTCTGAAGCTTGTGTCGGAACACGAGTTGTATTTCATGTGGGGGGGAGGGTGGGGAGGAAGTTAAGGCGGACCGAGAAAGACGCGGAAAAGGTTCCATCCACTGACTCGTCTTCTTTTTTTTTTTCGCTATATAAAACCCTATAACGGTGGTGGTAGTTTCCGCGGTTTGGAATTAAGAAACGAGTTATAGCCACTGCAAAGGGGGAAACTATCTCCATCCCGCAGCGCGACGGGGGGCTTTTTCATCCGCGGACGTGTTACCGCTGCCCGTGTGTGTAGGGGGTAATGAGTAATGCCCCGGCGTAGTTCCTCCCGCTTTCCGGACGCCCAGCTGCAAAATTAAAACAAATTAGCGGCATAAATTAGAGCTGGTCTCGCGTTACCTTCGGAGTGGAAATTAATTTATGACCGTGAAGCTCGATTTTCCACACGTTTCCTCGGGGCTATTTGTTTCTCGGGGGCTGAACTTTCGAAAATTCCTTCCGTATAGCTTTTATATCAAACCTTTACACGCACGAGGTGAGACGAAGAAGGAAAAAAAAGGCGTCAAGGGTCCAGAAAACGAAGGCAGACAAAGAAGTAAAAGTACTCGGCTCGACGCTCTCAAGTCTGGCTCGACGCTCGCCTGCATTTCCCTTGCTTTGTTTTACTTCCGACGGCGTCGGTAATTCAACTCTTTTTTTTTTTTTTTTTTTTTTTTTTTTTTTTTTTTTCTGTAGCGTGACGTTGAGAATCATTCGACGACAGGAGTCTCTCTCTTTTTAGCTTCCTGATTTTTTTCGCGCTTTTTTCAGCGATCGCGATCAGAGACCGATTTGTTTTTTGTTTTCCGTAGTTTCGTCTAGTCACCCGTTTTCACCTCGCAATTCATCATCCCACGCGCACCCGGTGTACTTTTATTTGCCGCTCGACCACCTGTTTCGTCTCAAGCAGCCCCGGCATGCACCCTTTCCCTCCCAAGACACCAAACCCGACAATTCCGTCGTAATTGCACCCCAGAGAGGCAGCAGAATAATGCATGCTAATTCGCAGTCCGCCCTACCTGTGCACTATGCACCCATGGAACCTCCCCTCCCCCCACCAAAAGGCGAGCTTCAACTTTAATTACTCCGGCCAATGATGCGCACCAGGCCAGGAGGGGTGGAAGGAGCTTTTCGCGCTCCACCGCGAGCTTTGCTGCCGAGGCACTGTATTATACTACACCCTCGATTCGAGGGAGAAATATATATGTACGCGTGTAATTGTTAAAGTATGTATAATCTTCCGCTGCTTCGTTTGCCGGGAAATCTGTTGGAGCCAGGGAGCGTTGATACTTTGATGAAAGCAGAGGATTTAACACCCCCCGGTGGATTGGATTAAATTACGTTGAATTTGCAATTATCCTGAAAGGGACCGAGGATTAAACTCCGTGGAAGTGTATTTTTTCACAGTTGTCTCGTAACGTGGCTCGATGCGAGACGAGAGAAAACCGGCATCTACAATCAGATCAGCCTATACATACACGAAACACACGACGAGCCGCGTCGCCTTTGCAAAACCTACGAGGGATCATCTGGCTTTGCCTTTCAGTTGGTTACCAGAGACAGCTCTTTTACCGGCACAAGCACCATGTAATTACATTCTGCGGCTGTGAATTATAATTACATTCCCTTGCGTTACCTGCTCAGGGTGAAAGGCAATTTAAGGGGGTTTCCCCAAAGACGGGACGCAGGTAAAGAGCAAACATCCCGGGAAACGTTAATTACTTTCTAGTCATTGCGTCGCTCGCTACCTCAATGGCCATCCCAAGTGTCTTTGTCGATCTCCGGATCACGAACGGGGTGAAAATGGGAGATCTGCACTATGTACAAACGACAGCCGTGAATTCAATCGCGATGCTAAAATTACTATTTTCCACGCCGTTGCCATAGGTTTCAGGTTTTTGGTCATTTGTACTACAATTCGTTTTGGATCAGTTGTTCTCTTACAGTTTGAGCGCGTTCTTCCACCTCAACCCTGTTGTTTTGCACCACCTTGAAAAATTATCGTTACTTCTGGCCGTATGCTCAATTATGTCGGGAAAACAACTCGAGGTTTCGCAGCGCGTGTCCTTTCTCCCACTAGCAGTTTTCCCGAGTAATCCCAACTACTCCTGTACCTGTATACGCGTTCCGGTACGCAACCGGCAAATTTCCCGAGTCGGCTTTTACAATTGTGCACACGCGGACCTGTATTCATATATACGAGTTGGCTTTCGTATAGTTTGGCGAATTTTGAAACACCTGGATAAAAGGGCTTCTTTGAACGCCGAGCCGAACAGAGCCTCGTGACAAACGCATAATGCTCCTCGTTAAACGCTCCGAGAGCAAATCCTCCCCGTTCGTATACACGCAGCCATACGCG